TGTTGCAACCTCACTGGACAAACAGTTGATTTTATTTCTCTATCATCAAAGATTTGACTTCACATTAGCAATCAATTTGAAAAATCGATATTTGGTGAATGAGACGATACGATATATCACCAGACAAAATATCATGATACTATGCTGTATCGATTTTTCTCTCCTGTCGAGTAACATTTCTGCACTGAGGTATGTCTACTTTTGGCTAAACCATCTAAAAACTGCACCAAACAATGCCTCATTTGATGTGAAAACAAACACAGGGCTCTCCTCTAAAACACAGACGGTACACTCAGTCAGTCAGCAGTAGGTGCCTGGCAAAGACTGACGCCAAAAAATGAGAGAACGAAATGAGCTGGTACTCTATGTGCTGCCGTTTCCACTGTTTTAATGTGGTGGAGGAAAGGCTTTAATCCTTAAAAGGATCTCTGGCAGGTCAAACAAACACAGAGAGACTCCATGTAGAGACACAGCCTGTCATTGAAGGAAACAAACAGCAACAAACAAGGAGAACCTCTGAAGCCATCTGAGCCTCTTTTTTGGATGTTTTAGCTCCGTCTAACCCAAAAGGAACTCCGGTCTTATCAGGTTTCAGCTCTTGATAAGAAGCTGATCCCGTCCGTTTTAACCTCCTGACCTAAACACTGAATTATACACCAACCATGTGTGATACACATTTACACAATCCACGCAACATTTTCACGTAACCCTGCACATTTGACGGAAACGCCGCCTGATTGGTGATCGTGAGTGATGGGGTGAAGCCAGTCACCTTCTGTTTCAAATCATTTGAAGGAGGGGAAGGGGGGTTCGCTCTCGGTAGGTTGGCTTTTATTGCTTCTCCCCTTTGGTTTTAAACAGATCTGCCTGTTTGTGGAAGTGTGGCTGGCGGTCGGCTCCTCAGCTGGCAAGGCAGCGGCGTTTAATTGCTCTTTGTTGTGGCGGGGTTCGGGGGAGAGGAGGCCCCGTGGTCGCCGCTGCACAATGGCGCTTTGGCCTGCCAGCGCACGCATTGACACACACACACACACACACGGATGCTCACACACAAGCATGCTATGCATACTTGAGCATGCACACTGATAACCCAGACGCACATGTGCATACTGAAAACTGAGCATATTTGCATTAAAACTTGTCTGTTTTTGTCTTTCACATCTTGAAATATGTAGCAAACAAGCGGCCAGATCGACATCCACTAAGGAAACAATTTAATGGCGTTACATCGTTGGTTTATTATGGATTTACTAAGTGTTGAGGGAAATAGAGGAGGAATTACAGGGAGAATAAACAGAAGCAGCAGGGTTTGTATATTTGTGCTGTTCTGAATGGGAAAGCATATAATTATCACATTTACGGGGAAGAGCTGCCGAATAATGGGTCATGGTGGGTGTAGCAGCAAGTGATGGGCCCCTCCCAGTGTGTGTGTGTGTTAGTGTGTGTGTGTGTGTGTGTGAGGAGGAGAAACCTGAGGACATTTGAGCTTGGATTAAGCACTTGTTGAGCCACTAAACCAGCATCCTTGTGCTGTTAGATCTTTATCCCTAAATGTTTATATAAATAAGAATTAATGATGTTGTACCTTCTTCGTCTTCTTCACCCTCACTGTCTCCACTGAAACCTTCGTCCTGGCCAAAAACGTCCCCGCCTTGTTTACTTTTCCTGCAGCCCCTGCACGTGTGTTTATCCAAATCTAAAGTATTCTTTCTCTTTCCTTTTTTTTCAGCTCCTCCGTCACGGTGGCTTTTGTGCTCAACTGTGGTGAGTTTTGTGTATTTTTGTGTAATTTACTCCTACAATCGGGGGCATGGTGTGCTCTTGCGCTCTCTCCTTCTCCCTCTCCCTCTCCTCCTCTTCTTCCCTCCCAGAGAGGCTCTTTTCCGTCGATGCACTTACTGTAAAGTGTTCCCTCTGCCTCCCTTCGCTGACCACATCAACTTGGCCAATCACTGATGACTCATTATACACACATAAACAGAACAAAGCACAAACAGTCATCACAGAGTCACTGCATACGTTTACACAGACAGCACTGCACAGCCTCCCCCCTATCTCTGCTTTCTCTCCCTTTTTCCTCTTTTTTTTTTATATCTCTTTCTATAAATTACACACACGCAGCATGTATGCACACACACACATGGATGAACCAAAATGTAATTTTTGGAAATGAAAATGGAAACTGGCACCAATTAGGGAGACCAATAAAGAAACCTCAGTTCTATATGTTTGCCAAGTGGTCGAGGGGATTCAAATAGCGAGGCTAGAGTTACATTCAGCCTTTAGGGTTATCTTCCAGATAGCATCATCCCATTTTGTACCACATTTGTCTTCTTTAAACGCAGCAGGACGTCATATAAAACAGATTTTGCATGATACTCTTATGGCATAAAACATAATAAATCATCATGATTAATAGCTCCTTATTAGGTGAGTCAGCGTTCATGTCAGCTAGTATCCCAGCTAACTGCAGAGAGAGAGACATGTTTTGATTTAGCCCTAACACTTGCTAATTGGGCCTCTTACGGCTGCTGCAATTAATTGTTTCCTGCAGCACGTCGCAGATAAGGAAAAGAAGGAAGGGGGCAGATGGGGCGGTAACATTTAATCCTGCTTCTGGTTTAAAGAGACGCAGTAATTGGGTAATGATGGTGTGGTCCTCTGGTGCTGATGTGGTGTCGAGAGAGCAAAGGAGAAAGGAAAAGAGAGAAACAGAGAGAGAGACCTGAGCTGCAGGAGAACCACTAAATGCTGCCACATTCATCCACGGCAGTGACGCCATGCTGCACGCCACTCACCCGATCAGCCACACACTCGTGGATACACACAAGCAAGCAAGCACACATCAGGAGGTACAGTAGCCTACAAAGACACACACACACACACTCAGACACATGTTGGCAGAGAGTTCAGTTCAGTGAGGGCCTCACAAGCGAATGGAGAAAACATCTTAATAGTTTTGACAGCGCAGAAAACAAATTAACCAACAGGAAATATGACAAAACTGACAACATGTTCATGAAGTTGAGACACTGTAATTTTAGGAGTTTACTTTAAAGCTACCATAAGGGTTTTTTGGCTTCATATGAAACCGGCTGGAATAAGCAGTGGAGGATTTATATGATGTAAAAAGCAAATTAGGTTGATGTTTTTAGATTGTTATTGTTATCGCCTGTAACTGCAGTGAGGGGGTAGGTCCATTGAAGAAACAGCCTCTGGTACACTCTCCACAGTGAACATTCAAAGTGGTTTATAAATTAGGGTGACCATACGTTCTCTTTTACCCGGACATGTCCAGGCTTGTCCGGCTTTAAAAATCCTGCAAATGTCCAGGATTTTGTACGGAAGTCTCGAGTTTGTGTCACAAAGACTGAGTTAGAAGTGTGTAAAAGACACTCGATGCGACCTGAAACTCTCAAAATTTACTTTGTGCGACTCCGTGACTCCGCCCCCACGTAGTCATGTCCTCTTTTTGGGAAGTCAGAATACGGTCACCCTATTATAAATTTCATTTTAAAAGGGCTGTTTTTTGTTAAACAGCACCACTCTCATGAGGAGGAGATTTATAGGGTTACCTCTTTGTCCACAGGGGGCGCCAAATAAATATAAACACAAAAGTTCTTCACTAGAGCTTTAAAATAAATCAAACTCATGAATATACTGGTTAATGTTTCTTAAATTTGTCTTTATGTGTTCAGTGATTTGAACAGAGCTGAGCAGAATAAAGAAACTATTATCATAACAGTACACAAATACTGCAGTTTCACCGAAGTCTGCCTTTGATCAGTTTTTTTGAAGGACCCGTGGGGAAAATTCGAGAGCAGCATATTTTTGTTGTTGTATATTTTTGCTTTTGATAAGATGCCAGTTTTGAAGTAGTAAAATTAGTTATACTGTACACATTAAGATCCCATGTACATGTTAGTTTTGCCAGTAACATGTTGTAGATAATTTAAAAACAATAAAAATTCTTTTAATCATTGCAGAATCTATGATAAATGCTAACCATTAGATATTCTAGATTTGATATGCTGTGATTTAGGAGGATAAAAACATAATTTAAGGTCATGACAGGTTAACTGCAGAATACAGACAGTATTTATTTATTGTTTTAATTGACCCGACAAAAAAGACAAACGACAAGGTGAAGAGTATACACTTTTTATTTGGCTGTACCAATAGGCAAAGACATTTTTGGAGGCTTGACTAACTGCCAGATTGAATAATCGTCAATTCTGAGTTTGTGAAAGAAATTTTTAAACCCTTTTTTGTTCACACCAGAATGATTCTGTTTATATCTATATCTATATCGAAGTATCACAAAGTCAACAGTTTTAGAAAGTTAGCATTCACACTTAGCTTCATACTTAAACATTAAAGCTCCTGTGAGGGACATTTGGTGTTGATTACTTTTTATTTTTTTTTATCCTACACATCCATACGCAGCATTTTTATGTCTAATATCTTATAATTTTATCTCGAACAGACAAATAAACAGCACACTGAGAACCCTTGTGTGAATAAACTAAATTTAAACCTGCTTTAGTGGTGCAGCAGTAGTTTCCAGAGCGATTAGTGTGACTTTACAGTAAAAAGACAGTCCGGTCGCTGATGCTCTTGTTTACTTTTTCAGATTATAAAGATACACAGCTAAAAAAACTCCTCACAGGAGCTTTAAACGCTACATTAGATTTTTTTTACTGACTTACATGCAGGAAAAAAGACACGTCCATTCAGCGCCAACAGCAACACTGTCAGTGTATGCACAGTCACAGCTTCTCTGTATTCTTTCAAACATCCTCTCTCACTTTGACTCGTGTATTCTGTATTGAATATTTCTTTGTAATATAAACAGTTTAATGTGCGTGTAGTTTGTTTTTAAAAGTCCTTAAACCAGTTCTCTGTGGCTCTTTGTGAACATGCATTTAGCCGTGTCCCAACGTTTGCTTCCTTTACTGCTCTTTTCTTCCCTCCAGGCCATCACTCCCCCTCAGCTCCTCTTCTTATATACCATCTACTGTTTCCTGTCTGCTTTCTTTTTTTTCCCCTGTCTTTCCTCCCTCTCTCAGTCTGTCCCTCTCCTCCCCCTCCTCCTCACCCTCCCCCCTCTGTCTCCCTCCTCCAGTCTCTCTGGCCTCTCTCGTTTCCCTCACAGTTGGACTCATGTGGGACTGATTGAGCTGGAGGATCCAGCCCTCATCAAAGGACGAGTGTGGTCGAATGCGAGCAAGCCACTGAGGCTCCAATCTCGCACTGGTTAATGAGCCCCCCATCCCCCCCCCGTCATCCTCCTCTTCCTCCTCTTCTTCATTCTTCTTCCTCACCCCCCCTCCAGCCGGCATCCCTCCAGCAGCAAACTCTATCTTCCTGTATCTCGTCTTCCCAGCCTCTCTACACATTATTTGTCTTATATCTCCCTGAACAGCGTCCTCTTCATCTTCTTCTTCGTCACTCTGTTCATTTCAGCATTTCCATAACCAAATTTTCTCCTTTTTTTTCTCTTTTTCCTCTCCCCTTCGTTCCTCAGTTCCTCCGCTCTCCATCAGCCACAGTCCCTCCTCAGGCTCAGCTCCAAACCGAGGCTGGCGTCTGTCTCCCTGTGTCCACCCCCCCTCCTCCTGCTCTCCTTCCTCCTCCTCTTACCACCACCACCATAATCATCACACTGATGATGCATACAGTCTCTCACTCTCTCAACGCGGACCCCGGACTTTAATCACCGCACGCATCCCAGCCGCACACTTGTGCATGAGCAAAAAGTTGAACACAGGTGTGCAGGTTTGAAGCGGCTTCATTTATGCACTTGTAAACACACACATTGGTATAATTTAGCTTCAGCGCACATGAATAATGTATCATTTCCTGCTATGGTTCGGTTTTACTGCAGCAAAGCAAGAAAAATGCCACAATAATTTTAGAAAATACAGTAAATCAGAGGCACAAAGGAGCCTCCTTTGATTCTTTTCCAGATGTTAATTTAGTTTGCGGTGATTTAAATTCAGAAATGACTCCAAAACACAGAAAAGATGCAACAAATGTGGCAGAGATTAAATATTGTTCAGATTTGAGCTGTAAGAGCTGTAAATGCAACTTTAATTGTTGCTCAAAATGAGTTGAAGTGGTCGGATCATGACGGGATCAGGCATGAACGCTCATAAATCACCTCAACAAGATTGTATTTTAATATGGAAGATGTATTTTCATGTCCACCTCATCATTATTTTGTATACATGGAGTTAACACAGTACATGTGGGGTTAGTAAAGACAGGCAATACAGACTCAGCAAACCTCTGTTGGGCTTCATATCTGCCACTGTAGGAAATAATCAATAAACCAGAATAAATCAACTGTAACATGACAGCAGTGATTTTTACTCAGTGCTATAACACAGCTGCCTCCGACTGTTTCCTCATTTATATGCACAACTTTAACACATATTTCATTCTGTGTTGCAGGAACAAATAAACAGCTGCTCATAACAGGAAACAGAACTGCAGGCGCGGACAGAATACAACAATACAAGGTGTCCATCATTTCTGCTGGAACTGCTCTCAAAATTAAATTAGCATTGTTTATTTGCACTAGTCTGTCTCCAAAGTTTGTGGATGTTTCAGGACAAAGAGAAGAGTTTTATTCATTTTTCATTTCATAAGCTATAAGGATGCCTAGCCCAGGTTCACACTTGAAAGGATGGAAGGTCCACATGAATGGTCAGTTTGACAAACTTGACTGATTGCAGATCTGGGTTACAGCTTCATCATGCCACATGTGTAACAAAGATTGATCAGAGACTGTTCAAGTATATATAGCCGTCCACATTTTTAAGCATTCTGCTGGCATTTAGTTGACCCTAAGAAGAGTCTGTGTAAGGTAAAAACGAAGGACAACATATTTTAAGGAGCCTTAGGTGAACATATGGAGAGCCCATATAGGGGATTACGATAGCATAACATATTTTGGGAACCTAAGTGATGTCAAAAATGTGTACAAAGTTTTTTGTTGAGAATGGTTGTTGGAGGCCCCTGGCTCCAGCAATCTAACACCAACTCATCCCTGGTATTTGAGTTGCATGGCTCCACCGCCCTAAAGGCTGATGGGATTGGCTAAAGAAAATTCTCCTATCACAAGCGGATAATTTCCATGAAGTAATAATCATCATAATAATCATTTTGCATTGCAGACGCTGTAGTTATTCTGCCTGAGCTTCTCGGTCTGAGCGCATTCCCATGAAGTAATGATCATAAATGTTCTTCCTTTAGCTGTGAAACTCCGCTGCACTCGGTGATCGACTCGTCAGGGCTCCCCCACAAACAAGCGGCTGCTGGAGGAGAGTGGGTGAGTTGTGTTTAGTCTCTTTGCTAAAGAAATCAGGCAAAGCTAAAAAGATGTTTGATGGCTAGTATTATGGCTGGGACCTTATATGGACCTTTTTGGTTGAAGACGTAGACTGCTGTGTATTGCTATCATCCCGTCTTTACTAAAGTTGGTATAACTAGAGAAGCAAGCAGTCAGCAAGCTATATCTCTCGAGGGGGTGTCTAACTTGGTTTTATGGTCTGTTTGAACATAACTTAAATTTACGTTGGAATATCCCTTTAAATTAGCGTTGGTAGTGAGAGCAAACTTGCTCAGTACACCTACACACTATACAAAAGCACAATAAACAGTTGTATTTATAACAGCAAAAAAGTCCTAGCAAGTCTTAGAAACAATAAAAACGTAACAGAGAGGCATTGTCTAACAGAACAATACTCCAACACAACATGACCTCTGAATGAGACGATAAATGAGCTCATTTATCTGTGGAGGATTGTTCTAATTACAGTGACTCAAACCTGAAATAAAGAAAAGACACAGACATGAGAAAATCTGATATTATTACTCATAAGATATTAGGTTCAACTGCGTGGATGTTCAAACAAGTCAATCATGACCTTTAGTTTAAGTACAAGGAATAATGTGAAAAATGGATTTATTTGACATGAGATTCCCTTCATCCGCACCTTGAGTTGTACATCAGTAACGTTTGACTGCCACCTAACTAGATGTCTCCATGTCTGTCTAAAACATGTCTTTCCCCTCCGTGTGCCTGAAATGATGCATTGTGATGTAGCTGAATTAAAATGCGATGTGTTATCTTCACGCTTAGTTGTGGTTTGATGATTGTCAGAGAAAAACCTTTGATTCAGCCCTCTCTGTACTTTAGGTTTTAATTTGACTAGTTCATCAAATGAATTAGATCCAGCTGATGAATCCAGAGACGGTAGTTATCGTCTCAGCTGGCTCAAAAGGAGAAGAAGAAGAAGAGAGCCTGCAAATATGTAACACATGTCCTAAAGAATAGTTTGTTTTGGAAATGCTCGTATTGAGATGCATTTCTTATGTATGCAACCACAGACATCCTTCTTTTTTTGTGCTACACAAAATGACCAAAATCTAATTTTCCTCTCTATACAGTACATATCAGTTTTGTTTGGTTTTATTCCATCATTTAACTATGTAAACATACCACACACAATCCACAATGCAAAATAAAACTGATACCCCCTCCGAAAACCCCAGTTATTGTTCCTTATAATCAATATTTACAATCCGTTGTGTCATCTGCATTCATTTAACATTAGCTACTTGCCATCTTTCTTCCATAAAATGCTGCCAGCCCGCTACAAAACACTGCCCATGTATCATCACCTTCGCACTCAGCCTCACACCACTTCTGGCCGGGCTCCCGTCTTTGTTGTGTGCGGTTGTCTGGATGAGGCAGAGGAGAAGAAAGACCGGCAGTCAGACCACTGCATATGTTTTTAATTCTCCTCCATGCAGACCTTTCTTTCTCCTCTTTTGGCCTCCTCGTGCCCTCACATCCTTTTTCTCCTCTCCTCTCCTCGCCTGTGTGTTCTTTCTGTCTCCGTGTCCACCAAATTGCCCATTAGGCTTTCTATTTGTCTATCTGCTGGACGGCCCGTCTGTGGCGTGGCAGCTTGCTAAAAGTATCCTCCGGTCTGTGCCAATTACACCATGGGAGACCACTTCTAACATTTTATACTGCATGGCTGCCAAAAGACGACGAGGTCTTCCTCTTTCACACACTAAACTTAGCAGAAACTCTTTATGGGGATCATGCAACACATGCATATATGCTCGGCTGCATTTTTGTTGCATCCACAAATTCACCCCCAATGACAGAAACACCCTGTCTGCTGAAAAGATGCGACATTTTTTGTGTTATATTTTAAGAATATATGTACGTGGTTTACAACTGGGGACAATAAAGCACTTCCTCTGCCCTCTTTTTTTGGTTTGAGCGAACAAAAAACTGCAAAAACAAATCTCACCAAGTACCACATCTGCTTTTATCCTCACAGAGTCTTTCGTACACACGTATATGCTCTTAATGTCCCCCCCGCACATTTCTTTTAAGAAATCTTTCAAAAAAAAAAAAAAAAAAGTCACCCCCTTTCCAAGAAAAACTGACTGATCAGCCTCACACATTTCCAGTCCAACACGGCGACCAAAAGAAGCCGAGCGATGTGGCTGAAAGCTTAGCTAAACATTGTTGTTGCATTCTGTAATAAAGAGAGGAAACCTACAAAACCAAAGGCCCTCTGAGAGAAAGTTATTAATATCCTGTCAGCAGTAAATTAACTCTATGTGTACATGTCCCTGCCCCCCTTTTCTCTTTGTTTGGTCTACCAGCGGTCCCTCCATCACCACCGCTGACTGACTTTGTGTCCCCCTGTATGGCGGTGAGACTGAGACAGCACGGTCATAAAACTGCTGACAGGACTGGAGAACAAACGGAGCCCATTTATAGGGCAGGTCCTCATGTGTTTGACTTGAGGAAGGATGATCTATAGTCAGCACCGCAAAGTATTTGTATGTACTGTATCTATATAGGAAGTTTTTATACTGAGGTGTGCTCAGAAACCGTGAGAAATGGTCAAAGGATGAAGAGGCGGCGACGTAAAAACAAACACGAATGACAGAAACTGTGTTCATCCCTGCCTAAGAAAATAATTTCAGAGCAAGACAAATGAACAAAAGGTGCAAATCTGTGTCCGTCCCGACTGTGTGAACTGATGCCACACATGGTGAAAGGATCATCTCTCGCAGTCTCACCGATGACAGGGGCGTTTGCCTGACTGCAGTGACTGTACAGAGTAATTAGAGGCAGGCTCCAGTAGGTCACAGTTTAGTCTGTAGCGGCCGAGAAAGAGACAGAGTGGGAGTGAGGGCACCGAGGAGAAAAAGGTAAAAAGGTGAACAAGAACTGAAACTGGAGGGAGGTTTAGTCACTGTGGTGATGGTTTAGTAGTGGAAAAAGGAATCAGATCATAAACATAAAGACCTTATGATTGATATTTGTCTGTGAAACAATCGATTGAATCGGTTTCAGACAGTAGGATACCATCAGAGAGTTACCAGTTCTCTATTCACTGTACAGTTTAGCCCACATTGAGGCGTTTGAGGCACAGGTTTTTCATGCCACGGCCTTCAAACTGGTGACCGTTTTCAGCAAACAAAAGAAAATCTCAGATAAATTATATAAATACACCCTAAAGACTCAAAAACAGATTCATATATTATTATTTTTGCTTCTTAATTAGTGATTTAAAATAAAAAAAAAGAAAAACTTGTGCTATTTATTATCAGCTACACTCCACCAGTCACCAGAGGAAGCATAGGTAAAGCTACATGATACCCCAAAAGAGGCAAAAGTTTAAGAATAAATCCTGCATTCGTACTAAATATTAGGTGAACTTTGTCTCTTCTTTCAATCAGCCACAAGATTCACACCACACTCCTCTTTCTCACTTCCAGGACAGTTTGGAGAAGCAACTCTTATCACCAAGCAGCAGCAGAGAAAGTGGTTGCGCTGGAGGAAAACCCAAAATACCATCAGGTCAGGGACATGAACATGACACAAGCAGAAGTTTGGGTAAACTTGGACATGTCAAACTGTTTGATGGACAGAAATAAATCTCTAAATAAATGCTTTACCTCTGGGGAATGTGTGAATAGGATGTTAAATATTGAAGTTCCTCTTTTTAAGTCAATTTATGTTTGTGTTTGTTTTTTTCTGCCCCCTGCTGGTCATGAAATCGACATTGCAGCTTTAAGCAAACACCTTTCACTTAAAACTGGGTCTGATTTCAATTCTATCATATTATTTATTGGAGAAATGTCTTAATAAGCTGATCAATACTCATCATCTCTTGTCAAGTGATCATTTTAATCTCCAAGAAGAGTTAAATTTGTTTCAGGGGAAGCCAATTTGGACTCCTTTTACTCAGTTCACTGTCTGCATCGTAATGTTCTTGTCATCAAATGCAAACTTTTGCTGTCAAAAGTTAGAGCAAAGTTTTGTTAGTGTTGCAACCTGATCACTCCGGAGTAAATGTTTAAAGTGGCCAACGGTTAACTAAACAAGTAGCTGCGATACCCCTGAGTACATAAACTCCTTTGGCAAAGTAAACAGACACTTAATGGCTCTTAGAAATGATGTTTGAAGTCAACTACTTGGAACTTTAAACTCACACAGCATGGAGTTTGGGATTTTAGGATGGCTGTCATATGTAATACACAGTTATAAGTTCAACAACCAGCGTGCAGATCAATGCAGCTTTCAGAGGTTTATTCCCCTGGAAGAGGATCAGACTACATCATGCTCCAGACGTCCAACTCGGTTAGGAGCTGTGATGTATTGGAAGCCATAAGAGTGAGGAAGTTTACTCTGCATGAGTGCCATCCCTCAGTGCCGCTGTAGGCTCCTGCTGAAGTCTGCACATCCCGCTCGCCGCCTTGTTAACCCAGAATACCCCTAATGACTTCCCCTCTCTCGCTGCCGAGCCACACTGTGAAGTCATCCATTTCCATGCAGCCTAAAGTGAGGAGAGGAGGGAAGAAAAGGAAAGGAAACTAGACAGGATGGAGCAGCGGTACCACTAATGAGCTGTGTTGTGATGGCATGAATCCTCCTCCGAGTGTCCACCAGTGAACATCCTACATACGTTACACAGAAAACCACATATGGACCATATCCTGCCCCATCCTGCTGTTATGTCTCTCCGTTATTCCACTCTTTGGCTTTATTTTATCTCCCGGCTCTGCTTCAAGTGTGGAAAAACAGCCAAAAATGTGATTAGACTCACTTCAAGACTTTCCTTTGAGAGAAGTAAAAAAGGAAAGAAAGAGAGAGACAGAAAAAAAGGGGAATGTAGTCTTTCTGTCCCTGCAGGCCACAGAAATGTAAGTTGGTTTTTATCGCTGTTTTACATCACTGTCAGCTCGTCAACATTGTTGCTGCAAAAAAACAAAAATGGTTCAAATGAGTCAAGGCCTGGGACTAAGAATTTAAAATAGTGGAAGCTATGGACAAACTATATAGAGTAAATTATCACAAAATGTTCAGTTTATGTTTCAAGTATCATTTAATCTTTCCCTGGTTTGCAAAGTTTCTATCAATATTCTTATTAAGTCTGTTTCTAGATTCATACGCAGACTTTTTTCTTGGATGCTGACGTTGATGGATTGAGCTTTCAGTGAATCAATTTGATGTCATCGCCATCTTGTGGTTGGAGTCTCTAACATGATCCTTTTCATATATGACCCACACATGATTTATATCAAGCACACACATATGTTCTGTCTTTATACTCAAGACACATGGGCTACAAAAATAAAATTAAAAAAGAAATATCAGTCAAAGTGAACATCCAGGAGTTCAAAATAGCACATGCAGTTGTGTAGAAATCAGTGCAAACATAACTTTTATTGTTCCTTGTCATAATGGCAAAAGCAGAGGTGTTACTGGAAATGTCAGCACTGTCACCAATCAGGAGAAGGGTCCCACTGAGCCAAGACAGTGAGACATTGAATTAGCATGCACAACAGCAGGACAGAGGAGCTGAGGTTAAATATCAATACAACTATCATTCAGGCTATTATCAATAATGCGCGTAATAGTCCAACATGTCCAAACGCCTTCTGTAAAAAGACAAACTGCAGTTATAAATGTAAGTAAACACACAGGAGGAAATTACATGCTGTGTTACACTCATGCGTTCGATAAAGGTCATGCAACTGCTATGTTGGTTGAAAATGTCATTGCCATGGTGATTCCAGAAATAATAGTCTTTAGTGGTGTGTGTGTATCACATGTCTGCAGTGTAAATACGAATGGAAAAGGTGTTATATAAATCAGAGGAACAGTCTGGTGTATGATCTGTTTCTATACAACAACTGCGGACTTTAATTATTGATATGCTACATTCTGTGTTAGTGGTTTAAAGGTTGAGTTTGATTCAGAAGACCAGTGAGAGAGCTGGAGGGTAAAACTGGAAAAAGTATGAAAATTGAAGTAAAAGCCTTTGAAAAATGGAGGATAATTGAAAGCTTCTTCATTGCCACTCAGACAGGAAATAATGAGAAAAAGTGACAAAAGGTTTGCTTTTATTCAGCCTCGGTTATGAATTCAGTTAGCTCTTTGACTTCGGCTGTGTTTTTGCATTAAGTGGTCCTGTTTGATAAGTGACAGCATCTATTAAAGCAAGCGGGGTAATAGCAGCAATTTCTGTTTCTTTTTCAGTCATTTGCAAATGGAAATTGGTCTTTGGTTATTATCTGTGGATTTGACGATGAAAAAGAAAAAAAAATCTATTAACACTTTTATTTCAATTGAGGACACACATGAGAAAAATGTGAATTTTTCTGTGAAAAGTTTATTTTCTTAAATTTGATTTTGGCAGCAATGTTGCAGGAAACAATTCAAGAGTACAACGCTATCCATGTAGATTATAGTTTTAATTTACGCCTCCTATGTAGGGGAATTTTAGCTGTAGAACATACTTATATTAACAGTGATGCCTGTATACAAACCACAACCATAAACAAGGCCATTAGGAAGTAGACTAAACCTCTAAATATGTATTTTTAATGCACAAAACCTCAGCTGCAGGGAAGGTGTCGAACAAGGTCATCAAGATTTCAGAGCAGAAAACACTTTAGTTACATTTCCCAATGCAAAGGGTTCTTACTGTGTTGTACATTTGGTAAAAGAAAACAGGATGAGATATTTTAATTTGAAAAACATTGCTCAGTAGGGGAGAGTGGGGTAAGTCGAGCCAAAGGGTAAGTTGAGCCACCCCCTGTTGCTTGGAAATAGTCAAAGAAATTCATCATGTGACCAAATAATTAGGAGATGTGCATCAATTCATGGAGTCTGTGAAGATTAGAAGCACGTGGGTGAAGGGGTTAGACATTTATTTACAAAAAGAAACATTTTTCACTCTTGAAAGTGAATTTAGTCTGTCATAAGTTTTATTAGAATTGTGTTCAGACCAAAAAAGATCATTTGTTTTATACATCAATTGTGGTATCTATGAGCTACAACATGAGGTCAAAAACCGAGCATAAAAGTCCACCATTTTAGCTTAGAGGACTAATAAAGTCACAATAGTAGTTTAGGGGTAAGTGAGAAAGTAAAGGAGTCTGATGAGAGGATCAGAGTTTCAGTTCAGATTGTTGAAATGTTTTACTTTTTCTTTTCCGAAATACTACTGTGAATGTTCTGAATCACTTAAAAATATTTAAGAGGTGCTTTGTCCACAAGGAGCATCAAAATTGAAAAAAAGGTATCACCTCTTCGACCTTTTATATCTCCTCATATAACAGACATTAATATATCATATAACATGCCATAATTTGACTGTAGGGAATATTTAATAAATGAAAGGATGTAAAAACACACATTTCTGCAGTCATACACTCACCTGACTTTAAGGCGGCCTGTATGTGTTTTACTTTAGCGCAACATCTTGAAATATATGCAGATACACTAGTTAGAGACAAAACTGTGATTACCTTGATGTAGTGATCCGAAATGAGAAATGTGGCTCATCTTACCCCACTCCTCCCTATGTAAAGGAAATAATATAAAATATAAGAGGTGCTTTGTCCACAAGGGGCATCAAAAGTGAAAAAAAGATATTTCCTCTTCAACTTTCCTTTTAACTCTCCTCATATAACAGACATTAATATATCATATAACATACCATAATTTGACTGTAGGGAATATTTAAGAAATGTTCAAAGAGAAGGATGTAAAAACCTTTAAAACACACGTTCTGCAGTCATATGTGTTTTACTTTGGCGCCCTCTAGCGGCCCCTCCGCGCTGTTCGACCCCTTTTACAACAGCCTGTTATCATTGGTTCAAAATGCCACCGTCGCTTTCTTGACCAATGGCACCTCTTTGATTTCTTTTCTCGCAGCCTGTTTAACATGCACGCTCCGCCTCCACACACACACACACGGACACGGACACACACACACCCAACCCCCCTGTGATGCCAACCTCTCCATGGCTGGACTGGGACGGCATGTCTGTCGAGGAGGCGGTTTAATCTGAAACTAAACCGGGATATAATGGACGAATCGATGTGTTGACGGAGATGCATGAGAAAGGTGATTAAATCTTCAATTTTACACATTAATATCCAAACTAGAAACCTCTGAATTATCAGTGATCGCATATATCACCAACTCGGCTCTGTGCGTAATATCTGTGTTGCCAAATTTCTGCACATCATTTCTTTCCCCCTCTCTTTAAAAACGATCGTGTCTGCGGTTTTTGGTTCTGCAGACAGTCGGTCTCCGCGGCGGGATGTTTGGCGATGAACGAGCAGAGAAACACGGAGAGAGAAATCTGAGTCACCATAATCCATCTGGACGCTGGGGGGGAAGATGAGGACCATGATGGCTTCGATGAAAACAGCATTATTCCTATTTGTACACGGGGGTGAGTGCTGCCGCATTGTACCTGCTTGTTTTCTCTGCGCACAGCCACTAAAACCGAGCTCTGCCATCTGTCACAAAGACGCATTTGCATGATTGTTTCTCGAAGCCGCCCAATCAGACTATTAATTTATACACTAAAGGCAGCTTACATTTGTTGTTATCACTGGGCTGCCATGTTTTCAGCTTGTGAGCGCTTTATTTCTTGACTGTGGTTTATATGCCTGTGGCCTGCAGGTCTGTATCCACCTATGATTACACAGCAAACAGTCCCATATCAGAATACATCACACATGATATGTGAGAGGGATGTTGTACTTGGTGACTTGGAGAAGCAGGTGTTTAAGCAATAAAACAAGCTCACGGTGACACCAAGGAAGTCCCAAGCAGAAGTATACAGTAAAATGATCATTTTTGGTGTGGTATTATATATGGTATATTAGTGTCTGTTGTATGAGGAGGGGAAATAGGAAAGTTGAAGAGGAAACACCTTTTTTCCACTTTTGATGCCCCTTGTGGACAAAGCACCTCTTATATATTTCTAGATTACTTCCTTTACATAGGGGAGAGTGGGGTAAGATGAGCCATTTCTCATATTTCGGATCACTACATCAAGGTAATCATAGTTTTGTCTGTAACTAGTGTATCTGCATATATTTCAAGAGGTTGTGCATCCCTGCAAACCAACAGAATGAGTGTAAACATAACTGTCTTGATGATGTAGCAAGTAAAACATTTCAACAATCTGAACTGAAACTCTGATCCTCAGACTCCTTTACTTTCTCAGTTACCCCAGAACTACCATGATGACTTTATTAGTCCTCTAAACTAAAATGGTGGACTTTTATGTTAGGTTTTTGACCTCATGTTGTAGCTCATAGATACCACTATTGATGGATAAAACTAATTTAAAATGATCTTTTTTGGTCTGAACAATATTTTAATCAAACTCATGACAGACTAAATTCACTTTCAGGAGTAAATAATGTTTTTTTTTGTAGATAATGTCAAACCCCGTCACCCATGTGCTTCTAACCATCACAGACTCCATGAATTGATGCCCATCTCCTAATTATTTGGTCACATGATCAATTTATTTTACCATTTCCTAGCAACAGGGGGTGGCTCAACTTACCCCACCCTCCCCTAAACATTTATATTCTTTGTCTTTAGGAGGTTGTTTAATGTTATCACAGCTTGTTTTCTCCTCTATCATAAGTCCAACAGGCTTCTTTTTGTTTCTATCTTATATGTCAGAGCAACATAGACACTATAAAGAGGCTTTTCTCCAGGAGATAGCTCCGCCTTGATAACATAAAAAAAGTGGTATCATTTTGTTTTATATTTAGATGTTAGGACTATACATGAGCAAAGTTTCAGATTGCAAGGTGCAAGGGCGTTGAAGTAACCCCCAGATTGGACTACAAGGTGCTCTGGAGGGGTCGTTCAAAAACTCACGAGATAGAGATGTGATTTGCTTAAAATCGTACATCCCCAGACAGTGATTCGCTCTAAAAGGGCGAATTTGTCATTTTGTCAGAAAGACAACTTTATTCCATGGCAACAGTGGAGGAGGCTTCAGAAAACCTATCAGAGGAACAATTATAGCCCAAAAGATAAACATAATGACCCTCTTTACGAAAAGGAAGCTTCAACATGTCTGCCGAGCACAACTTCACTTTAATTTAATGTCTCATTAAAGACACTTCCTGTCCACTGAATAAGTAATCATATAAACCATCTCTATTAACCACACAGTCGTGGTTTCTGAGCACAAGGGTAATCAGCCCGTCTCCACATGCATGCAAACAGGAGCCTCCACCCTCCTCCTCCCTGTCGCCCGGTAATCCACAGGGTATCGAGCATTGTTACAAGCCGTTGTGTCCCCCAGACCTATCAGTCCCAGTCCAATGTTAATTAGGACTTGATCCGCTTAAGCCTCCCACTAGACTCCCATGTCATTATCTATGGGCGTGTTGTTATCAGGCCGCGCCTAGACTTGTGAGAAAGCTGCTGTGGATTTTAAGGTCTGACGCACACACATGCACACGCATACACAGGTGGGGAGTGCCAAAAGGTACCTGTCTCGTCTTTCTAGTTGATCAGGTAACTATCAGTTTAAGGTGAAGGTAAAGGGCGTGTCGGTCGATCTTTTGTTCACAGTCCGTTAGCGAGCGAGTGAGTAAGTGGGTGTATGTTTGCAGACTCTTTTTATCTTGGGGTAATCTCATTTGTAAACGAGATGATGGTTCAGTCCTTCACTTTTCGCAGCACACTTAGATTCAAATCCAAACGCAACCCGCTCTAAATAAGTAAATCCTACAATGAAAAAACACATTTTTGCGCCTACAAGCTCTTAAAAAACAACTGTTCATTTTCACTAAGTATCAACCATCCTTCACCGTGTAAACTCTTTATGTTTTTTCAGCTTCAAAATGTTTGACCTAACTCAAATTCCTCTGTGTGACATACTGAAACTGGCCTAACTAGCCTCATAATGGCCAGTGTGAAACCACAGTTTCATCGTTTTATGAAGCAAACAGATTTTCTACTTTCTAACTTTATTCTTTTTTAAGTTGAAATGCTTCTTGTTGAATTTATATGTGTCATTAGTAAAAGAAAAAAACAGCAGTGGTCTAGTTTTCTGAAGCTTTTACAGTTTGACACACGGCTTTTGTTAAGTTTCCTCTTTTTTTTCTTTTGTCATCTCAGTCTGTCTGAGCTACATGTTGCCAATTTTCTTTCCAGTTGGTGGGAATGACTGGAAAAATGGGCCTGCCAAAAAAAAAAATTAAATAAATAAAATAATTGTGTAATTTTCCCATAAAGAAAAACTAATTCCAAACAAATCAGCTTTTAAAAAGAATATTTTTTTCAAAGATAGAACTCAGTGTTGGTAAGAAAATGTTAAAAATACCTGCAGTGTTACTTTTTAAAGTGTGGCCCATTACCTTTGACTGCCTCTTTATCAGCGTGTGAATATTTCAGGCAGGTACCGTTATCATGAGACAAAAGCAAAGGCGTGAGAGGTTTCGGTGTGTGAGCCTGTGTGGAGGTTTCAGTTTATGGAAAGTCCAGCGTTGATCGAGCCCATAGCTATTTCTGAGATGTTTCAGGGGAAGAAGGGTATGCAGCCAAACAATGAGACTCAGTGAAATACAATGAAGTCTGAACCTACAAGCTGGCTGCTGTCAGCCTGAGGCGATCACTCTGAATATTTTTACACACAGCTCTGAAAATCTGCATGGTAGGCAGACTGCTGTTTATCAGTCAGAGGAAGTGGACGAGAATATAGTTCCACTTTTGTCTTGAGTGACGTCTTCTCACTCAGGGGATATCAGATTTAACACTGACCTTTAGTTGTTTTTTGTTTTGTTTTAGATACTAGAACATTACAATCATAAAACTAGAGAGCAAAATCTTTGTCTAAACTTGATAGCAGCTGCTCATAGTGACCCGCAGACCTCACTGTGAACTGTTACACCGACAGCAAACCGCCTCCTGAGCCTCTTTTAGTTCTGAGGAAAGCGAGTTCAAAGTTACTGCAGACTATCATCTTTCTGTTTCTGGAAAAGACATCTAGGAAAGAGTTAGTCAAAATATCTCTACATGGCTCAAAAACTTAGAGAGTCTATTAGGAATTATCTTTACAACCTAATAAATATTGAAATCTGACTTTTTTGTCTGAATTTGACTTGTATCACAACAACATACAAGACAAGATACATGAATGAAGAGACGACAAAGCAACATTTTACACACCAGAGGCCTTCGGTTTCCTTTAGATCAGGGATTCAGCTCCATGTTCAACTTTATAACAGGCTGATGAACAAAAGAGTGCTTCAGTCTGACCTCATTAAAACGTGGGACCCTATATGTCTGGTTTCATGGTAATGGCTCATATTCACTGTCGTGAGCGTGGTTAGAAGAGCGAGCTTTATCATGTTTTCATTGTAGCCTGATTCGTAGAATCTCTGAGGTGGCTGACCTTTAATTTTTTTTACAGATTTCATCTTGTGAAGCTTTTTGGACATTAAAATAGTGGACAGACTCATGAACCGTGTTACAGTCCCGCAGGACGCTCTGAAACCGGTGTTTGTACACCCTGTCCAACTGTGCACACTTACTTCTAAATGTGTTTTTAAATGGAAAAATCTCATCCTGACATATTTTAGCAGTAAAATGTTTCTGCTATGGGGCTTTTGTTGCTCTTAGAGAGGCATCAGTATTACCGTAAAGTCTGGAATAGAAGCCACACCAATAAATCAGGTGCTGTCTGTTTTTTTGTGGTTTAAACTGTGGTGTTGCATGAAGACTTTGAGTTGTGTATTTCTGTGCTGTAAGTTCTTCTTTCTCGTATTACCCCACCAGCTTCACTCTAAATTTTACGGTAATTTTACTGTAATTTCAGCCTGTTTTATCAGCTTAAAAAGAGCTCTAAATAAACCAAAGTACTATGAGTTTGAGGGACTATATCTGCTTAGCCCTTGTATGTGATGAATGAAATTTGTCATCATGTTCAGGGAAAGCAGTCCCAGCCCTGGTGTTTTTCTCCACAGCTATTTATCGTATTGATTCTCTGTTAGTAACTCATCAGCTCAGGATATTGATCGCTGACTCCATGTGGGTAATATGCTGCAAGCAAGACTTTGACCCACAGAGATGACATTATTACCGTCTCTGATATTTCCTGTCCTCTGCTCATCACGATCTCTTCTTCCTGTCTCCATTTCTCTGTCACAGTGCTCCAGTACGCCGTGTGTCGCGACGTAACGGTTCCCATAGGAACCCTCTACCGTGTGGCAGGGTTCCCCGTCTCCCTGCCCTGTTCTGTGTCAGGCTATGAAGGCCCACGTACGCAGGACTTCGAGTGGTACCTGTATAGGGACGATGCTGCTGGGAGGCAGATGGGAGTGGTGTCCACCAGAGACAAGGGCTTCCCCTACGCCCCTTTTATGCCCCGGGTGAAGAACGGGGAGGTGAGGGTGGAGAGGGACTCTGGGGATAAAGTGCGGCTGGTGATCCAGAGGCTGCGGGCGGAGGACCAGGGGAAGTATGAATGCTACACACCCAGTACGGACGTCACCTACCAGGGGAACTACAGCGCCACAGTGGCTGTCAAAGGTGAGATTGTCAAGTTGTCACTGACTGGAGATTTCAGAGTGGAGAAGTCTACAGAGATACGAGATATTTGTAATACGAATAATAATAACTTTTTATTTATAGCACTTTTAAAAACAGATGTCTACGAAGTGCTTTGACAAATAGTCATACAGCACAGAACGTCAGCACATGGAAATAAAAACAGATAAAAACAAAAGCTCAGTTAAAACAAGGCCTCAGAATTGAAGGTCAATTTAATACGTCACAAGGAACCCTGGCAATAGAAGAACCATGCAATATAAAATGAGATATATTCTAGAGAGAGACTGAAGTAACAGGCAAAGCAACCAGACAGATGTATATTTCACAGACTAGGGGAATCTCTTACAGAATGATAAAACCTAACACAAAAAAGACACAGAATAGAAATTAAAAGAGCAGCCGAGGGAGAGCAGGCTCCACTGAAATCTAAAGACCTTTAAAAAAACAGAGCCTTGACTTCCAACTTCACTTCAAGAATGAGATTTGGCAGCACAATGCAAGTTTAGCAATCTGACTTTATTCATATAATTGGAAAATTTGGCTGGTTATAGTATCAAGATGATGTCTTAAATGCCATATTGTGTATAAGTCGTGTTTTTCTAAATGAATATGTCTCAAAAGTTTAGATAAAAATCTGTCTATAGCTTGTTTTAGACTAGCAGTAAAATGTGTGGGATTGATGCCTCTGAGGAGTCTTGCTTTTCATACGAATGTCACAGAGATGTGATGGTGGGGTCAAGTAGAGGCGATACTGGGGTGAGGCGGGATCACTGCGTGCCAGAGCGGGGTCAAGTTTGTGTGTGTGCATGTCTGAGTGTGTGTTTATATTAAGCTCCAGCTGCATGTTTGAGTTTCTGCTCCCACAACGCATGATGACAGTGGAGACGGGTCATCGTAAAGAGCTTTTTGTGAAGTATCTACACGACTACTGCAGAATTGGAAATACTCCCCCGGCCTCGGCACTAACCAGATAACCAGATGTTTGAGTTGTGACATAGAGTGAAAACAAACTGTGGGCTCATGTTTCCTCACAAAGGTCACGGGTTTTATCAAGAGCTCTGCACATGAGCAAGAGGGATGACATTTTTCATTGAGTGAAGATACTACTGTACATAAGCCACTGGGTTTCTAAGCTTTTGTTTATACTCCACATCTGGAGTTTGACTTTTTCTTTTGTCTTTTTGTTTTATGTTCTCTTTACAAAATCCATCTGCTCAAGCTTTGTTAATGTTTCGTCATTCACAGGACGAGTACTTCTGTCTCTTCTTAGATTGTTTTCAGTGTCGTGTTTGTGATTGCGGGATGCTGGGTGTTAGTTTTGCTGCAGAGGAGTTTTATCTTCATAATCCCTCTTTCTTTAGCAAAGCTGGTGCCCAAAGCCAAGGCATGCCAACGGCTTTCGATCAATCACAGCAGCCCCGCTTTTGAGTTTTTTCTAAACATAGAAATGTCTAAAGGGCACAGGCACAGGCAATGTAAATTAAATTTGGTGTATTTTCTCCACCCTTCAGGCTCCTATAGCGGCTCAGTGTACAGAAATGTAATTATCCGTCTGTGTGTTTTTTGGCATCCTACAGTGATCCCTGACACCCTTCAGATCAGCTTCAGCCGCTCACTCAGCAGCCAGCCTGTACCAGAGGGGGCTGAGTTGATGCTTACATGCTCAGCCGGCATCCAATCAGAGCAGCTAACCCACCTGTCAATCACTTTCGGGAAGCGGAGCGGAGGAGAGGGTACGGGGAGCGGTGGCGCAGGAGGAGAGGTGAGCACAGTGAGGGAGATTATCACCATCGACAAGCTGCTGGGGGTCGTCCCCGGGCGCGGGTACAAGAACAGGTACGACGACGGAGAGATCACACTGGAGAAGAGGAGTGGGGAGGCGGGCCTGGCTCTCTATGTGATGAAGATAAAGGCGGTGCAGCCAGATGACTCAGGATCATATTTCTGTGAGGCCTCTCAGTGGATTCGGGACCCTGATCGAGCGTGGCAGAAGATCGCACAAAGGACGCTGGATATCGGCAACTTGACTGTCAGGCAGCTAGGTTGGTATGATGAAGCAGCTGTGCTTCTGTTTACATTTCACAAAACTGTCTTATGCCCCTGTTTCACGTAGGACTGGGCGATTTGGCAAAAAAAAAAAAGATTACAATGTTTTGTCATATCATCCCTTCTCGATAATTATCACGATTTTTTTTAACTGTCAGTTTTAAAGCATCTGTATTAAAAACTAAAGAAACCAGAGATTAGTTCAACATTTTATTAACATACAAAGTAAATAGCAAAGCAAACTGAATAAGATACACTTAGAAAAATATAAAAAACATTTTCACTCAACAGTACAACAAATGTAGATAAATATTATATGAAATAATAAAGTGAACTAGCTTACAGTCCTGAGTGTTTTTGCAGGTATGCAAGACCCAAAATAAACAAATCGCCTTGAAGTGTAAACATTAGATGATACGTTAGGGATGGGAATTGATCAGATTTTATCAATATCGATGCTAATATCGATTCTGCTTATCGATTCAATCCTTTAATGATTCCTTTATCAATGCCTTTCTTTGATTTGAGAAAAGTAGACTCTAAATTTTCACCCTTGACTCAAAAATTTATTGAGTCTCTGATAACAGAAAAAGAAGTATGCCACCTTCAGTGAGAGTCTAAAAATAATCGATGTTTTTTTCCTCAAAGTCTCTGTTCTCGTTCACCTAGACTAGCTCTCGCAAGACCGTTTTTCAAGGCACTCGTAAGGAAACATTAAGGGAATTGTTAAGCTAAGTTAAACTGCTAATGCTACTTGTGCCGTCAGCAGTAACAGGCTGTGCAGAACCCACTCGCATTTTCATGTTTTCCACATAATCACTCGGGAAGAACTTCTTCAAGTTATTAAACAGATCTGTTGTCGCCGGTTTTAGAGGACATGACCACCGACATACCTTGCGCGTTGGCTTAATTTCTAGAAGTCACTTTAGAGATACCAAAACCACCGCCACACAACTGATGTTGAATAACTTTACTTCTCAACAATGGTATCTCCGGAGGATGACTTTAAGTTACAGCTGACATATATTTTGCTGCCCTCAGCTCCGCGTTTAGCTCCACATTCAGTCATTCTGTTTACTTCCCCTGTTAACTTCTCTGGCAACTTACAGAAGGCTCAACTCTGATTGGTTGTTGTCACTCACATTTCTGCCATGTTTGATGGAGTAAATATGCTCACATCTGATCGCCATGATCAAACTGAAATTTATCACGATCTTTAATCATGATCATATAATCGCCCAGTCCTAAGCTATGCTTCTGTTAACATTTTTACAACACTACATCTGAACTAACTAAACTTTACAGTTGATGTCCTCTGCCCCTGTTTCACCGCCCTCCTACATGGATACTTCACAACTAATTTGCTGGTTTGGTGATCATTGATGTAACAGCGTGCATTCAAAGTGGGATGAAGTTAGTCATCACAGCAGGCTAACTGTGAAGGCGTTAAGCGCACAGAAGAAAAAGACACAAAGATATAAAGCCGCCTGTTTCAGCTGCAGAGTATCCTCGAGGCGATACAAACAAAACGACACAAGTTTGGTTTCTACTCGTGAGTTAAAGGCTCTCAGGTCTCTGGCTGTGGCAACAGTTGGCTTGGACATTTACTGCTGTTGAGCTCACTGGACTCTTTCCAGGTTTCTGGCTGGGTGTTTGTGTTACTTAAAGCTTAGCTGAATGTCTAGTTTGCTGGCTGACAGACTGAGCAGTACACTGACTGGACAGATAGGCAGCTTGTTGCCTTGTTTGTCGGCTTGTTTGGACAGAGTGCGTGTTTGGGGTCCTGATTAGCTGCTGGGTCGGAGCTGTTGAGCTTTTTCCCACCTTGCTGGTTGGCTGGATGGAAACAAATTGTCCTCACTGATTGATCTGTTGGTCTGTTAAATGATAAATTTTCATTCAAAAACAAACAGACCTAAACAAATGTTGCGTTTTACCGTCAAATAAATACAATCATGAAGAATAATGACATAACATCTTGTAAAAAAACTCACCTGACGTTTTATTTTGCCGATTCACTATCTGCTTCAGGTCGACAGCTGTCAGCTCGCTCGCCTGACTGACAGGCGTGATGCTCGGGCTTTGATAGACTTGGCGGTTGGCGAGCTGAACAGCTGGATAACTGCCCTGTTACTTCGCCACTTGACTCCGTTTGAATTCTGAAGAGCTGGCGGGGATCTAAAGGATTAAAAAAACAGCTCCTCTCTCCCACCTTGGCTTGTTGTAGCCCACAAAGAGGATGACTATCCCTCTGTCAGACTGATGTGTCCATTAGTGTTGGAGCAGCTCCGCTTAATAGTCCTTCTTTAAACATGTGCTAACATCTGTTATGATGAAGCTCTCCAGGCACACTCATACCACATTCTTGATTTTTTTCTATTAAATAAACGTTATGCCAGTGTAGCAGCTTGATCTACTTAATCTGTTTTACACATTTTAAAGGATAAACTATAAAGTTATTCTTAATAGTGAGAAGTTTGAGGATTTGGAGTCAAATGTTTTTTCCCTTCAGCGAGAGAAACTGGAGCTGGAGTTGAGGCTTTAAATCTGTTCAATGTGTGCATTGTTATTTCTGCCACAACGCTGACAAGAACTCTTTAGCTGTGTGTTTTCTGGCCCCTGTTGTCTGACTAATACAATGGTCTGACATGTCTCCCTTTGTTCACATAAATAATGTGTCTATTATTGAGCAGATGTGTGTTGTGGAGAAGTATTGTGGTTAAATGAGGCTTCGCTCACACAATGGACCAGTATACTTTCTAATTATACCAGACTACCAGCGCTAACCGTCTGAAACTTCATTTCATAGATTCAACCTTATTTCTTCTATCGTCTTACACATGTAGGCTGTAGCTGTATCCCTGGTTACGTCACTTTAAGTCTCTTTTTTATTTTTTTTATTCTGCAGGTTCATATGTTTTCTAGTTGGCAGTCACATAGATCCAAAGATCCCTGTCACGGGCTTAAGAGCTTGTTCGAATCCTTCACTGTGGAAGATTTCTGATGCTTTCACTCCTCCTAATCCCTCTCTCTCTCTCTCTCTTTCTACACCTCTTCTGCTCTCCAGCCGAGTCACTGAGTGTAACATCCTCACCCCGAGGGGAAGTGACCCTGCAGATCGGTTCTCCTCTCATCCTGACTTGTGAGGTGTTGGGGATGCCGTCTGATGTTAACTCAGGAGTTCTCGTTCAGTGGATGAAGAGGGGGAGCAGCGATGTAGCGGGAGTCGGAGGAGTCGAGGTACTGATTCATGTTTTCAAGACATGCTTTGATTAGAAATATGTCGGAGTTATTGCCAAATATACACAGCTGCACAGAGCGCTTTTCATGAAAGAGATGCTGCTGTGTCTGTTTGTGTTAAAGCACAGTAATAAGCAAATGCATTACAAATGTCTTCTTCTTGACACTGTGCTCTAACAGGATTGGCCTGATGGGGATTTAGAGTCACCTGCTTTAAATCATGACTCAATCAGTACGTTTACATGACACTTGAGAAAAACGCATTATTGCCTCACTCTGGTTAAGACCGGACAACTGAAGTGCATGTAAACACCTTAGTCCGACTATAATCTGAGTTTGAGAACTTCGATTGGAGTCGGAGAACTCGGATTAAGACACCCAGATGATGCAACTGGAATTTGATTTTCTCCACTATGTAACCGGCGTGGTCGGAGTATGATTGGACAATGTGTGTGTGCGTCCGCCACGCCCCCTTAACCCAGAAACAAAAACACCAGAGAAGGAGAGCAGCGTGCATCTTCATAGACATTATACACGTAGATGCCTCATTACATCATGGAGTGTAATACAGCGTCACCGCCACATTGGATGTGTTTTTCCACTCCAGACTCGCCCAAGAGCCAAACAGGGTCCAAGTGGAGAACAAGCAACTATGTCCGTATTTTTGCACTCTATGGTTGAAAAAAATGACGCAGTATTGAAACCAGATCACGTAGGATTACATTTCACAAATAAGATTGAAAATAATTTTGGTCATTTTTGATGTGTGACCTTGTCCTGTATTATGGCTGCATCCCTGCCATATGTAGCAAACCAAACAGTGTGAAAATCGGGCAGAGGTACAGAGAGTTATTATTAACATGGTTGGGCATTCCTACCTACCCTAAAGCACTGGAGGTGCATGGGGGACCCATCCAAGACGGTGGCCACGCTGATAAATGAGCTCCAATAGGCAACATTGGGCTTTGAGGCATCTACGTATATTACATCTATGTGCATCTCATCTGCAGAAAAAGTAGTGCATACATCATGTACGACAAAAACAACGCTGTATGATGCTCCATCTTGCTCGAAAATGCCCAGCAGCAGTTGTAGACACTCCTGACGTCTGTCACTGTTGTTGTCGGGTCAGCCAGAAACAGCGCCGCTGAAAAGACCCATATTACCCCCTAGTTTTGGGGAGGAGGACATGTTCACATCAATAATTCTAGTCTGATTCTGCAGAAAAAAAGGAATTATGAGCTTTATCCACTTCAGATGTGCATGTAAATGCATTGAATGATAAATGGCTTGAACATTGATTTAACTTCAAACAAAGATAGGGAATCTATTACAGACACCATAATAGCCTATTTGATCTCTGACAAAATCACATTATTGTTTTATGTCCATTCATAATGAGACACTTTAAGACCTAGAAGTAAATTTTGACAAATAACTCTTTAAACTTGGGTGGGAAAAAGGATTTTATGGTTGTCATAAATAAGTGATAAAATTAACAGTCTCAGAATAAATAACATGTCAGCCCAGCACAAACTGATACCTCTTATTTTGTGTTTAGGTGGAGGTGGCCCGGATGAGCCCGGATGGCGTAGTGAGCTGGGGGGACGACCTCAGCCGATCTAGTGGCGGCTCTATGGAGAAAGTGTCAGAGGGAAAGTACTCTCTGAAGCTGTTCTCCGCCCGCCCTCTAGACTCAGGGGTGTATCGGTGTGTGGTGAGTGTATACGCTGGAAGAAGAAACCCCGGTCCCTCTACTCCTGCAACACACACCCAGAGGTCTGAGGGAGTCACAGTCAACCTCAAGACTAAAGGTGAGAGCTGCTGCTGCTCACTGATACTGTCTTCATTTATACCTGTGATTTTAAACTGGTGTAGATCAGAACTTTACAAGTGCTGGAGGGTGTAGAAAGACCATGAAGTAAATGAACTAATTAAAAGCAGTCAGACTGGTACAATGATTAAATCCCCCGCTCCATGTACAGAGGCAACAGTTCTCTGATTACAGCCCACAACCTCTTTCCCACTCTCTCTCTCTCCTGCTCTATCCCTCCTTATTATTTCTGAATAAGAGCCTGAAAGTAAAACTAAGAATAAGCAGCAGAGTATGTTTGACCAATCATTAGGCAGCATATGAGGCTTAACCATTATTGGCTTAAATTTAGGGGTAAGGGCGGGGGGGAAACACCATCTGTTCAAACAGATAATAGATAAACATTTGACATGAATACTGAAAATGGATGAGCGATCGGAATAATTACAGATAAATCAAAAATGCTCCGGATAATTAACTATGATTGATGGCTAAATTTTAGAAAATTTGGCAAAGAGTTTTAAGTTAATGATGAAAAGAGTTAGTGAAGATAAAAGATAAATATTTGAGAATAGTGAGATATTGTTGGATATAAAAGCTGAGATATTGTTGGATTTGTAAAACAAAGATGAATACATTGAAAAAGTTAACCGGGGTAACAGATAAATGTTTGGACTGGTTGGCTCTAGAGATGGGAGAAAAAAATTCATACTGCAAAGTATTGCGATATTTTGTCTGGTGATATATCGAATCGTCTCATCCACCAAGTATCTATTTTTCAAATTAGTTTCTTATATGAACTCAATTTTACAATAATGGAAAAATGAAATCAACTGTTTGTCAAGTGAGGTTGGCAGAGGTGTCATCATAAAGTAGGAAAAAGCTAGTACAACAAATAAAGCAGCACTTGTGTAAAGCCATTAGAAATGAAAGCAGGGCGCAAATGAGATGGACCTGACGCATACGGTTTGCAAAAAGTGCTACATGAAAATAAAATACTGCGTTAAGAAGACAAACATAAAGGAAAGACAAAAAAACTAGCTAAAAAGTTGAAAAAGTTGTATAAATCCCAGTATATGGTACTCACTGTAATACAAAATGTTTAAAATTGTGATAACATCCAATCGTGACCCAAGCATCGCGATAATATTGAATCGTGGCCCAAGTATCGCGATAATATTGAATCGCGGCCCAAGTATCACGATAATATCGAATAGTGGCCTGAGAATCACAATAATATCGAATAGTGGCCAAAGTATTGTGATAGTATTGAATCGTGGCCTAAGTATCGTGATAATATCATATCGTTGCCCAAGTATCGCGATAATATCGAATTGTGGGGCCACTAGTGATTCCCACCTCTAGTTGGCTCTGTGTGATGTTGTTTTAACAGTCATCAGAGAGTAATGGATAAAAGTTTGAAGGTAAGCTAAAATAAATGAGGAGTTATGTATTTATGTCTGAGCTCAGGTCTGCTCAAAGTGAAATGTTTCAGACTTTTACCTCAAAGTATCAGACAAACAGCTGAATTAGCTAAACATTACTACACTTTTAGTCTTGAAGCTCAAATCAAACTCCATGTGTATTTTCTGTGTAAAGGAGCCTGAAGGATAAAAAAGTGAGTCTAAAATGCAGCGATCAGCATTGGACTACAGCTGACGAAATCTTTGGTTTGGTTCATTACACATTCACCCACGAGTAAACTCGTTTTACCTGATAACCTCTTTTAGGATTAAAGAAATCTGAAAATCAGTTTTGCTTTTAAACTGCCGGTCACATATGTTCGTTACACTGTCCATCGACTCATCTCTGAATGCCTCACTTCCTTCCACAGATGTGTTGGTTTCAGCTGTGGCTCAGCTCCCCCGAGGTCCCCTGTTGAAAAGGGGCAGCACCATCACGCTGATCTGTAACGCCACTGTGACAACTACAGGTCCTGCCCAGGCTCAGGTGCAGTGGCTGCGATGGCCGATCCCTGCACCTTTTGTTAAGAAGAGTCCCGCTCCTGACGTCACTCTGCCAGTCCCTCCTGTAAAAGAGGAACCCAAACTGGTGGCTACCCTGATGTACGACGGCGTATCGAAGATTTACGCTAACACCAGTGAAGTTAGCATCGACCGCCTGTCTGCTGTCAGCTACAGACTGAGGGTCCACACGGCAACAATGGAGGATCAGGGCATGTATGCGTGTCATGCAGAGGCATGGGGGCAGGACCCGCATGGAGGCTGGTACAACACAGGGGTCAGAGCGGAGTCAAATGCAGTGACTGTCTACCTGTATGCCAGAGGTAAGCTGTTTTTTGATAACCATGGCAGTAGTAGATGAATAATCTCCTTCCCCGTCTGTTTAATCTCAGTAACATCTTGAATTCTGATCAAGTTTTTTTTCTGATTGGCTACTGACTCAGGAACTGCTGCTTTTTCACATCCCCATCTGGATTTATCGCTGTAGTCGGAGATCGAACAGGTCAAATCAAACGCAGCCTCGGTCACGAGCTTAAGGGTGTCCTATAGAAATGCCAAGTGTAAATTTTAAAGCTTTTAGAGTAAAGTGCACACATCTAACGGAGATTGATTAACCTTGTTGCTTCCTTCGAGCTTATTGCAGGTCAAGGTTCCTCCTTATTTACATCTTCTGTGTAGGAAGGCATTTTCAGGGCTGACGTTGTCTGGATGTCTCTCTGTAAGACTCCAAAAGCTTTGTCACTATCTTTATGTGATCTGTTTATGAAATTAGAATAATTCCCCAGAGGCCTGTGTGACTTTTTTGATAGTATTTGTTATTCTTTCGATTATTCCATGCATAACTCTTGCTGCTTCTGTATTCATAGATAGTTAGGAAGAGCATTTTTTGAGTTGATCTTTCTTGGATTTGTACTTTTATCATTTCTTTGTACAAAATGTTGTTATAAAATTGGCCCCAGCATAGTGCACATGATAGTTTTGACATTATTTGTGCTTCAGATCGATGGCCTCTTTCTGCTCTACATGGATGTGGATCCTGTGCTGAGAGTAGATTGACTAGCAGCTCCACATAAATGAATCAACATCTGCTTTTAGTTCATATAGAGGGTCGGCCTGTTAACATGCTGTTGATCAATATGTCCTCCCTAAATGTCTAAAATCCATATTTGTCCCCAAATGTTGCTCTGGATTCCCCGTGTTTCACTGGGTCGTAACATTATCGAAATTCAGACCATTTTCTTTGGGATTATATTTCATCCCATCTTCCTATTCTTTTGCCAGTTTGCATCATTGCATCCTTCTCTCTCTCTCCCTCCCCAGCTGCTGACCTCCTCCTCATCCCCCTGGTCGTCGGCGTGGCCTCCGCCCTGTTCGTGGGCATCTTCATCATCGCTACGGTAACTTGCTGCTTCATGAAGCGCCTGGCAAGGCAGCGCGCTCAAAAATAAGCTCCTGCTGCTGCAGCGTCTGGCTTTGTGAAACCTGAATGTTCGTACGGAGGCACAGAGAGGTGACCGACAGAACTTAAGGGGTGAAATGATCGAGTCAGAACCGGCTCAAACTGGTACAAAATTGTCTGTGTTTGGACCCATGAATATAACAATCAATGCCAAAAGATCCTGTTTTATATTTCTGTATTTTTGTATTCAAACCTTCTCAGAAAACAACATATTTTGGTGATAGCTCGAATATCTCAAACAAGTAGACATACGAATTAGATTTTTTAAATCTACCGCTCAGTGTCCCTATTGATCCTTGCCTCAAAGACCTTTTTAACAATCCTTTTTTTCAGTGTATTATTCTTTTTAAACAGTAAAAAGGGTCAAAATCTGCAGGCAAGACTGTTACAAGGTCAAAAACATCCATTTAGATACGATACGTTTTCTACTGGGAGGCCAGGCTAAATCTCAGAAGTCATTATTTGATTGCTAAAGTGTAAAGACGCCGGTTTGTTCTGATGTTTTAAAATGGTGCTGGATCCCTACAGTGATAATTGTTCGATTCTCACACAAACAGAAAATATTCAGTTTTTCTAAATGTGATGTTTCTCTGTTCCTGTTTCCACAAACAGCATGCTCTCCTTTTATTACAAACAGCGACAAAGCCTGAACATCTCTGCATGCTTAAGCCTCCAGCACTGCCACTGACAGTCACATGAATGCTGATGGGAGCACTTAAGCCTCCAGAAACTTAATACGAGCAGGGATCTTCCACTGCCTGCAATCAGGCCGCACTCAGCATGTAAACAAAGTCTCTGTCTGTTACTTAATAAGGAAGGATCAGGCCGAGGACTCTCTGATGCCAAGACTAATTGAGAAGTGATTCGTAACACAAGCGTTCCCTGCCTGTGATGCTTTACTGCTAAAGTGGGTTTTCTGTGTGGACGTGTATAGATATAACAAACAGAAATGGAGGAGAAATCCATGATGCACTGAGCTAAAATGTGTAAATATTGTACGAATTGTAGCTGTTTTATTTTTCTTAATGTAAGTAAAGACTGTAGCCATGTTAGTTTTTGTGCAAAGCACCTTGAAGCACTTGGACATGAACAGGACTGGGACCAAAGCCCCTCCGTTTCTTTCTTTTACTTGATTTTTCCAGCTGAAAAAGTCACTCCTTTGCTGTGCTTGAGGAAGAACATTTGAGTGTTTCTTTCGTGCGATGGTTCCCTTTTTGCCCGTCAGGTGACTGAGATGTAAAAAGAACCCTTTCTTACACTGAGTCACAGAAAATCTGTTGTGTTGTGTCACACCGTTGAGGATCTCGGAGGTCAAAATCTCCAGAGCTGCGCAGTCATATGACTCGATGAAGTCTCAAATACCCTCATCATCATAGTTATCATGTGGTCCGGGCCGCATATTTCTACTGCCAAGACTTATGAGTTAAACCCGCAGCTAGAAATCTGTTGGACAGATTTAGCGTGTCTTATAATGAGTGAAATCCATCCTCATCTTCCTGTTTGACTTGGGAACATTGTGGTCAAATGAGTGCGATCATTAAAAGTTAGATATATGTCAGTGGAAAAGAGATGAAAAGTCAAGTTTGTTGTTATCCAGCTGGCAGCTCCAGTGAGATTATTCCAGGTCAATTTGCTCCTGTCTCTTTAAATCTCTTTTTTGCTCAGACCTACCTGCGGTTCTCAGCTTTGCTCATAATTTTCTATGTGATAGTGAGTTTTTTTTTTTGACACGAGAGTCCCTCTAAAATCTGCCCGTCCTCCCTAACCTGTGTGCTCTCTGTAAACCCTGATTATAAATGTTGTTCACGAACATTAGGGAATAAAAAATCACAGCTCTGCCCGCTTTCTGAGCCACTTTGCTCCGGATCAACTCCTCAAAGCTGATTTTGCTCACTCGCCCACCCACCTCATGATTACACATTTACACACAAACACTGGGGACGGATGCACGTGCACACACAGAGGCACAGCGCTCTGCTGGCTGGTGTTTCAGATACAAGTATGTGAGTATCTGCGTGTTCATCTGTAATCCCTGTTTATGGCTGCAGTGTGTGTCCCGCCGCCCCTCCCCCTCCCTTTCATTCTCTGCAGACGGCGACGCTTGTATCTGATTCATTTCAATCTCTGTTCCCTGAGAATTACAGGCAGCTGTGAAAAAGTGTAGCACGTCGCGTGCAGAGTGTGAAAGCTGCTGTCTGAGTCGTGCTTTTCTTTGAAGATGTTTTAAACCCTTTCTTGAAGGTGTCATGTTTTGTTCGTATTGTTTACTCATGCTTTGAAACCACTGTCCCTGAATGCATCTGGCTGCCACTGAAATATATAAAGGCGGATTATCGCTCACTTTGTCTCTTATGGTGCTTTGGCAAACCTGCCAGTTGATAAACCAATAAAACCACTCTGGATTTATAGTGTCACTATGTCTGGGTTATTTCTCTATTGTCTACTTCTGTACAAAAAAAGGGAAAAGTCTATTTTCAGGAGAAGACCTGGAAATGTTTTTATATTGGGAGCCACAGGAGACGGCTCGAGGGCAGGCTGCGCTGAGAGGAATAATTAAATCAGTCTTATAAGTGGTTCATATGCGAGTTGAGCATATTTTCCATCTATTTCTTATAACAAAACCAAAACATTTCATGCGGTTGTTCCATTTTCCGGCTTAGCATGAGCCAAGCGGAGGTTTGTATTTCAGTTTCATGTAGCCCTCAGCACTTTGTGATGCAGCTTCAGAGGTAAACAGGCGAAACGCTGTAAAAGGTGTTTACACACATGATTTAACCGTTTCTACAATATAAATGAACAAACGATTGATTCAATGGAAATATTTGACGTTATTTATTGATGAGTCAGACTGTTGTAATGTTTGTATGTGAATATAAAAACAACAGCACATCACATTTAAAACATTTGCACATTTAAAGCACCACTAAGGAATTTTCAGTTGTTGATTTTGGCAGAACATCCTATCTCTCCTGTATTTTGGGGAAACCTACCCTGCATCCATGTTTGATTGGCCAAGGACGTGACTTCAGGTTAATATTGTTGACTTTTGGCTCATAATCACCAAATTCTGCCTTGCAAGAGCATGACATGTAACTCTGACCTGGAATGTTACAAACATTTTTTAAATTAAACCCGAAATGTTATAACTGGTCAATAATGTAACATTATAACAACTTGTCACATTTTGGGTCCATAGACTGTATATACTATGGACAACTTGGCTCCGCCTTCCGTCATTATACGTATTTGAAGCCGAATTGCTCTCAGTGTTTTCAGGATTTTCTCCACTTCCTGGAACCACCACTTGCGCAGTAGCGTTGTACGCATTCGGTGGGAGAGTCACTGTGATGATGTTCAGCTCAAACAGCGTATCCCCTCGGTGAGCTACGCAATCTTCGTACGCCCATAGGCTGTATCAAGTGTCAATCATAGAAAACATGAACCCCCTAATAACTTTTAAAAATGGAGCTGCACACAAAAAGGAGGACTTGAGCACAAACCAGTCTGACAGTAACTACATGTCAACATCACAACCAGGGGGGAGAAAAATTTATATTCTGTGTAATTAATTTAAGTTTGTCCACAGCTCCATAGGGATTGCTGGAGGAGGCGGGATTTATGACCTATACTGCAGCCCGTCAGCAGAGGGCGCTGTTCTTGCAGTGGCTTCATCCAGCGAGGAGGCAGATGGCGTCCATTCTATATACAGTCTATGGTTATTACATTATGGGTTTTATTACATGTTGGGCGTAACACTTTTGTTACATTATTGACCAGTTGTTACATTTCGGGCTGTATTACATTTTTTTAAATATAACATTTCAGGTCATTGTTACATATCAGGCTCTAACATGGCTTCAATTGGGGCCCGAAATGTGATGTTTTACTCTTTATGAAACAAGAATTTTTTAGAACTCAGCTGAGGATTGAGTCGTCTCATTACTGCACAGTTGAGTACAGCTAAATCAGCCAAAGACATGAACTTTATAAAAATGACAGCCCATTGATTTTTAAATCATGTATAAAACTAAAAAGAGATGAGATTAAATAAGATATGTCCCAGATCATGTCAAATACGAAAGAAACCACATTGGTTCAAAAGTGGACTGTAATGTTTTTACTCTGTCCGGATGGCAGCTGACCTGCTGTGGCTCTCTGAGCTCCTCTGGTATTACAGTATATCAGTTTACAGAACATTACATCACTAACGCAAATGTTAATCCTGTTCTTCCTGTATGACTTCAGAGGGCTGTGGCAGGCAGACAAACGCAGGCTTTGTGGACACTGATAAGAAGCTGCTCAGCGCTGCCTGTGGTTGATTGTACCTGCTCTCCAAACCAATCCCTACCAGCTGAATGTCAACCGAGGCGGGATTAAACCAGCAACACACACACACACACACACACACTGCAGGTCAGGTGCCCCCCGCTGTGCCAAAGCCTACTGAAGGTTGCTTTAGGAAAGTCAGGGAAAATAAAGTCAAAGGGAGCTACAAGGTGACAAAAACACTCTTTTTTTTTCAGGTTAAGTAAACACATCTGACTTTAATGTTGAATTCTTTCAAGGTAGATTTACATATTCAAATATTAACAAAATGAAGAAAATACAAATATAACCTAGAAAATCTAAAGATCATTTTTGTCCTCTTGTGTGTATAAGCTAGGAGGTGACTAAAAAAAGGTAAAAATTAGCTTCTTTTACAAATCTGATCTGTTAATATATCCTACTTTCTCACAAGTTAACAATTTAAACCAACTTATTCTTACTTGACTTTGTCTTTATACATGCTACTTAGTGATTAATGTGCTACAGGCTTTTACCAGCACTTGGTAAACAATGAGTCAGATAGAAAGTTTTACACCGCCTTATTTAAACAGTATTTAATACTGGTGCAAATAGTTTTTTAAAGTTATAAATCAACAACGTATGGTTAACATTGCTAATGAGCACCAACATCATAAAGAAAAGTGACCCGAATAAATGTTTACACACTAAAAACAGAAAATCTCAAACTGTATATACAGATCTTTCAAGTAATTCTTCGATCGTCCGTCCTTTCTCCTGAACGGCAGCTTCATGTCTGGTAGCTGCAGGACCAGGATCGAGGCGTCACCATCTCCAGGAAACTATTCTGTACAGGAAGAGTTGAAGACTCGCTGTGAATATTCATACGCTGCTTCTAGGCACATTATCTATAATCCTTTTATGAATTTTATCTGTATAATTTGTCATTTCATCATTGTGGTAATCTTATTTTAAGGATGTTATTACTATTTATAGACAGCAGTTATCTGTGTTAAGCCACCGTTTGTGTTTGTGTGTGTGTGTGTGAATGTGCCTGTGGTTTAAGAGGATGCGTTCGCTGGGTTTCAGGCGTTTGTAGTGGAGTAAGTATGTTAAGTACATCTGTGCCCAGCTGTCACGCAAATCCCTCACATCTGTGACTACGTCCAACGACTTGAGCAGGACAGGAGGAGAAGAAGGAGGATTTTGAAGGGGTTAAATATATGTCAGAGTTTTAAGGGTCTCTCACTCTTGTGCACGTGTGTGAGCTGGGTTTGTTATCTATCCGAGGGCACGCTTTCTGAACTACATTTGTGTTACAACATGTATGCATGCAGTGTGTGTGGTAACAGATGTTCATGAATGACTGGAGATAAGAGCAGATGACCAGGATGATGAAAGAGAGAGAGAGAGAGAGAGGAGTCGGTCAGATTCATCTGTATGACGTCCGACATTAGAGTACTCAAATACCAGTCATTAAGATCTTAAGTAGTGTGTATAAAACAGGTTTTAGGCTTTTTGCATGACCTGTTGTTGTTTGTATATCAAGTTTACTCACCTGCTGGCCTACTTAACTGCATAAATATGGGGTCAATGCACTCTCAAATGCAGCAACTCCATAAACAAGCTCCCGTTAGAATTGTACATATCCACACAGGGTTTGTTTTTCTCCATTTAAAGGATTTTTGAACTTTTTTGTTTCAAGTCCTTCAGAAAGTTTTGAATGCCTTCAAGCTGCAGAATAAATCCCTACAAGAATCTGCAGAATAGACTGACTTAAGCGCTAATATTTCCTGCTTTAAAATACGGTTCACAAATCAGACTGACTGTCGGGATTATTGATTTTCTGTTTTGGACAAATTGCCGCCTCTGTTGCGAGTGTAGCCAAGAAGTGAAGTTGAAGAAACCCTCGCAGAAAGCATGCCTTTTCTGACCCACTTTCTAACAGCGATAAAACATTATGATCGCTCCTGTTGCTGAAGATGCAGGATTTTTACAAGTGCAGGTTTTCATAAGCCTCTTTTTCCCCCCAACTCCTGACATTTTTACAGATAATTTCAGGACATTAAGGCCCTGATATTTTTGGGAATGTGCCATTTACACGAGCACTTCTCAGAGGGAGATTTTCTGTCTGTCAGATGTGCTTTCACTACTCAATAGAAGACTCTTTTTAATGGTGACTATTTTTGTGTTTATATAAATCTAAAAAGGCGTTTTCATAATACAAGCACAACCAGAAAAGAAAAATACTGACTCTAGTCTGTGCATGCCACTGCAATGCAAATCAAAATCCACTTGTGGGGATTTTCCTGACTTCACCTGCTGCATATAAACACACAAACTCATCTCAGAAACCTGTGTTAGTGTGCTATCAGGATTAAATCTGGGGTTAAAAACACAACTGTTTGCATTCATTCATGCGTGAATTTCCAGTTGAAAAAGCATGAACATACATGTGTCGTGGAGTACATACCCCTGTGCGAGGACAGTGTATCTGAGCGTACCACTCCTGGCAGTACAGACACACCTGAACACCCTGACCCAGGAAGAGAAACGCCCACATGATGACGTTCCACACAGGGCTCTGCCGATTGTCGTTCATGGTGAAGTTGAACACCGCTAAGAGAGGACAGTATGAGAGAAAAGCTGCTGTTAAAGGCTGTTTGTTTTGTGTGACCTCTCCATAGCTGCACCGCGACAGTTAGTTTGTGTTATTGCAGGTGGTGAGGACAAAGAAGAAGAAGAAGAAGAAGAACAGGATATAAAATGTTCGCATAACTACCTACTGAGTCTCAGAGGAGAGGACATAATGTACAAGTGTACTTTCTCTAAATATAATGAGAACTGTCCTCTGAAAAGAGCTCAGAAATGTGTGTAAGAGTGAAAAATTACAGATTTTCGCTTCAAAGCTGGAAGGCAGAGTGTGGAGAGGGACATTTACATGTTTTAACAAGCAAGTCAGAGAAAGTGCTTCAGCTTCAGCACAGTAATGAGGTGCTGTACAGGCTGAGACTTTCTGTCTCTGTGCATCTTTTCTATATTCTTTCTGTTTATTTGAAACTGAATCTTGTCGTGATTAAACGGCTCACAGCAGGAAGGATCTAAAGACGAAATATTGATAGTTTACATTCATGAAATAGTAAAACTAGTTCCCCGGATAATGAGCGTAACAATCACCTCCGAGGACGGCAAAGAGACTGAACATGACGGGATAAAAGAAGCCGAAGCACATGGTCATGGCGTACTCGTGGACGGCAGCGGAGACGATGAACACTGAGAGCATAGCAGCTGTTCGGCATTTCCTTTTGGACAGCTGCAGGGATCAGAGACAGAACACACACAGAGAGGGGTTTTTAGCTCAAAGTTCAGAGGTCAGGCCGGTTCAGAGGAATTTGTGCCACCAGAATTACAGGATGAGTTTAACTACTTCACACTCTTCATCATGGGATGCACCGCTTTTGAAATACAGTCGAAACTATCAGTAACATTTCACTCTCGGCTCATTATTTGGTTCTATTTGGTCGTGCTGCCACGCTGCTCACCCGGAGGAAGTCTCTGTATCCATAGTAATAGAGCCAGTCATGAACCACCACATTCCAGGTACGGTAATAGTTTGCAAAGGAGGTAGAGTTCCACCAGTCCTGAAAAAAAAGAGGACACAGTATGAAAATGAATGTGGATCAAAGTAAACACAGAAATAATGAGGACTTTTTGAGGTCTGGGCCAAGAAAAACTCTCGGCCAGCTGGAGGAGAGAGTCAGTTCGAGGTGACCACAGAAAAAACTACCTTGTTCTGTGCTGCTGAATTGAATATTGTAAAGAGTTTGTGACACAGTGTTTGTCCTCTTATGTTAAAAAGAAATCCAGACACAGGACACAGAAGCATAACAATGATTAACATTAGGACTATTAGCTCTCAAATGAACAGATTTTACTGATTTGTTTAATTTTGATATATAGAGGTGAGTAAAATATGACAATTTGAGGTGTATTTTAAAAAGCTGTTTGTTCAAGTTTTTTGTATTTTACTCTTTTTGAAACCCTATGCTATTAATCGCTCCCTAAAGGATGTCTTGGCAGCTTCTTTGTTCTTCTTCCTTGCAAATCAGCGCTATTGTTGCAGAATAGTAAGGAAGGAAATTATTACAAAATGTGTAGAAAAAAAAGAAAAAAAAACTTGTCCATTGTATTTCTGTCTAAAAGTGACAGCTTTAAAAGTTTTGTATTAATGTACTATGTACAAATATTTAAAATCTTAGCATAGAGTACATAAGGTTTAGCACATTTATCCTTGTGTGGCTTTCACTTTGATGGATAATTACATTACTAACTAAAAATACTCACCTTTATTTGCTAATATTGGGACAATTACATTAGAGAAGGGGTTTCATGCCTCTTTTCGGGATTAATATCCTTATTCAGTTTACTTTTTTTTGCTAATACTATCTTTGAAAATCCTCTCTCAGGATCACTAAACTCCTCCTTTGTCCAGCACCCTGCATTCCAGAAGCCCCCTCCACTGTTGCCATGACATAAAGCTATTCAAAAAGACAAATGATGAAATATGGACACATGTTTGGACTCCAAATTGAACCTGAAGAGTTTTGGAAGGAGACTGAATATCCTCAGCTACAGAGAAATCAGTGGGCTGTTGCCGTTTGGAAGGTATGTGTTTATCATGTTCTTTAAATGAGATTTAACAATTAGTGATGTCATGAGTTGAGAAAACCTCATGGCTTTTGTAACAGTCTCATGAATTTTCATTGAGCAGCCCCAAATCTGACGCTTTGGTTAAATTTTGTGTTGACATCCGACATTTTAACTTCATATTTACTTATAAAATATGGAAAATTACAGTAAAGTTATGACTGGATTATTTTTTCCATATCTACCTTTTTACTCTCAACTTTGAACTGTCTCATTATCTAGAGCAGTGGCTGGTTTGGGGTTAGAGGCAAACAGGGAGAACAGGCTGATATTTTCATCTGCAGCCCTTGTCATATCCTATTTCCTTGTTTAAGAGAAAAATGTATTAACAGACTCCACTGACAGAAAAAGCCAAACAGTTCTGGGACTATCAGGCTTCTCGACTGTACTTTCACTTGGCGTTAATAATTGTTTCCCCATCTGGAAAAGGAACTAAATCTGCAGATAATGTGCTCACAGGAGAGTTAATGCCACTCAGAATCAGCCACAGCACACACACCTTGTAGAACATCCTATCGGCAAAACGCAGCAGCTCCCCAAAGAGGTTGAGCCAGCAGTGCAGGAAGGCGAAGAAACACAACAGCAGGAGCATAATACCTACGAGAGACGGACAAACAGAGAGAGTGAGTGTTTATAGGGATCATTTTAGTCCGGGCACCGCTCCCAGCCTTTTAATAAGAAATGCAACTTGACATTGATGCTCTTCTATCAGCACTTACTCAAAGAGATATTCAATTAAATGAAGTAATAAAAAGCCTGTCTTTGATACCTGTACCTGATTGCATAACAACATCTTCCATCTTATCACTGACTCGAAAACACCAGAGACTCATCCCCTCTATTTCCATATTAAGTTATGCAATAACCAAAGCTGACTTGCACTGATAAGAGATAATAGAGGTTGTGAGGAGAAGTCATATTAAAGATGAAGTCAAAGATGACCTGACCTTTAAATTGTGTGTTTATTATACTTCCTTTTATCACCGCCCAATCTTTCACTCGGTGTTCCTCCAAACAAAGGAAACACACGTTTAAGAACAGAGTGTGAAGTACAGGTCAGAACTACCTGGTAATATTGAGTGAAACACAGCCAGGACCATCGTCCTTTTGCTGAGAGGCTGGCTGTTCGAAGGTCTGAAGACGGGGATACAGAGGCGGACCAGGATGAAGTAGCCATAAAACAGACATCCCAGGATCTGCGGATCGACAGTTAAGATGTTAAAGTTTCAAAGTGACCTGTAGAGATGTACTCTTCATGATATCAAACCTATACGCAACAGGCGATCAGGTTTATGTATTAACTATCCTGTGACACATAAAAAGTGCTACAGAGTGAAAAAACCTTAGGGTCATTTCTTATCTAGGTCAGTAAACCAATGAAGAGATCAATCTCTGCTCTGATAAGGGAAATAAAACATTAACTCAGGTTTGTCTTACCATGCCAAGAGTGACGCCAACATATTTCCATCTTATGTGGGTATTTCTGTGAAAAGACCAGGAGATAATAACAGCTTTAACTCACAGGTTGAGTTTGCAAAATAGAGACAAATACAGGAATTGTATTCTTACACAAGCTTATATCCATTTCACACAAAATATGATGCTCAAAAAGAACTTCCAGTCAAAGTAAAATTTATTAACCTTTAGAAAGTGTCCCTAATTTAAATGCAGGAACATAGCGATTACTTGAATACTAAAACGACACATGGTAAGGTACATTTCAGTATCTAATATAACAAAACATCTGAGTAGAGGATTATAGTTTATAGTTTGTTTGCATATATACTAAAATGGAAACAGGAATATTTCGCTAAATCTAGAAGTCTGATTCTTGACTGAGGCCCTCTCTTTGCTCGCTCCTGCTGCTGGTGAAGTTTAAAAGTGATGGTGGCCTTGAAGGACAAAAAGCTGATGATGCATGCTGTGCATAATCCTCCATTTGTCGTTTTCTTACCATCAAAAAGTTCTCAGTTGAACCCTTTTGTGCATAACAACCAATCTCTTCGGATGGCCACAAACTTAATCTAAAAACATGCATATTTCTACTTTGTGTGTTCTGCAGGAAACACAGCAGCAGATACCCAACTCTTCATGCTACTATAAATTGTAGGTTCAGGTGATTATACTAATTTAAAGATACTTGTTCTGAGTATTATATTCCATCTCTACTAAGTCTATCCTACTAAATTCTTCATGCTTCCCTTTTAAAACAAAAGAAAACAAAAGCAGGGCCGACTTTTCTTACCGTGGATATGATTCTCTGTAGATGAGAGTCGGACAAAAGAGGAAGTAAAGATAACTGGAAAAAGTCGGAAATCTGGGACTCTCTCCTGGAAAGAAGAACAAACCAGTAAGTGTGACGACTGATGTTGAGGATTTCAGTTCAGGGCTGATTAATCTTTGAGAAGTCAGGAAGGTTTTTTAAAAGACAGAAACCATCGAGGTCTGTGGATCTCACATTAGCATCTAATTTCATCTCTCTTGTTTTATGATGCAGAATAATGCCGGCTGTTAACTTTTTCATTTGTGGTTTCTGACGCATTACTGCTCCTTAATGTTGGAGCTTCAAACAAATGGCTTTAATTCTACGTGACAACGGTAAATTGCTGCATTTTCTTGGGCCATTGTGGGAAATTGCCTGCCCTCGAGTCTGAAATCTTTAGCTGAATTATTCGCTGCACTTCACTAAGGTTTAAACTTTTATCAAAGACATCTTCAGAGGGAAAAGTGGTGCTTTTATGCACAAATTGCATTGAACTGATTCGTGAAAGCCCTCGCACAAAAGCTGTGTTCAAGCTAAAACAGGGCATGGAGACTTTTTTGAAGCTATTTCCTGACATCTTTAAGGTTGTATTTTACTGCAGTGAGTGAGTAAAATGGAGACACATTTTTCACTGCTAACAAGCTTTAACAAAAGGATCTCAGTGGGCTTCACATACTCAAGTATCTTTATTGTATGTGGGTGTATCCATTGTTAGCTTTAACTCCAGCATGAATCATTAGACGGCAGCCTGCTGTGCTCTGTTTGAGTCATTTTTCTCAGTGTCTGTGAATGCCACAATGAGTGATGATAATGCCTAAGGAGTAAATACACCTGATATCAATACGGTACCTTCTTTTGGTTGATTCTTCATAATAACAGGGGCCGTCTCTCTCATGAATGAGTAGCTCTTCATCAGGAATCGAATCTGGGGGGAATAGACACGGTTATTATGTGAAGTGAGGCACAATGCATCAATAATATCAGCCTCTTTATTGTCCATGTTTACTGTATGAATTTCAATCACGCCTGAAGTCAACATCACACATCTCATGTGTGTGTTTATTGACCTCGGGATGAATGATAATGTATTTCCTTTAACTACCTCTGATACTATTCAGGAGGAAGCACAACAAAAGGGAACAGACAGAGAAAAAATGTGAAGTTGTTTATGATAAACTCAGTTTTCTACACGCAGCTCTGTTTGGGCCGATTTAAGAATGAAACATATCGACTAAAAACAAAAGAATTAAGATTTTAAAGGACGAAAATGAGAATTTCAAACAGCCGATTGGACGCAGGTCAACTGAGGACCAGGGACGAGTTTCCCAAAAGCATCTAAGCACTGGGATTATCTCACTCCCTTGAATGGAGCTAAAATGATCTTAGCACTAAGATGATTTTGGGAGCCTGTGGCTGGAGCAATAAAGAGGATGAGGAGGTATTACAGCGAGCAGTGTGGGTCCGTGATGTTCAAACACTGGCTACACTGAGATCTCCTGTCCCTTTGGTGCTTTTCCAGCTGGAAGTCTCCCATCTGTGGTCAGCAAGCTTTACAGCTGCTGGCAGTAATGAAGAGCTGCATTTATAATTTGGATTACCCATAATATGATACAGGGTTATCTACAGTATAGGATTTTTTTCAGCACAACTCCTGCCTAATAAACATTTTATGCTTTGGATTTATTCTATTGGATTTTTTTGCACATGTTGGGAAAAATATACTCTGATGATGCTGCAGGAGCTTTTGAAGGGAAAGTGGAGCCGGTTAGAAACTTTAGACATCATTACAACCAAACTTTCTGCACTGAAACACGTGACAAACAATATAAACATGTGTTCATTCTGATTTCTGAGAAGATATTTTCACTTTGTCAATAGATTAAGACCACTTTTATTAAAAAAAATGATTAATTATAAGTATAAATAGTTAAATCTGGTCGTATGGCTCTAGTCTGAGAGACTCTCTGAGTGTGTGAATGGAGAGTACACAACAGGGCAAGCATTAGTAAAAATACAAATGACACCGATAATATAATTTATAGTATAGAGAGAGGGGCTGGGCTAGCAGAGCAGCAGGAGAAGGCAGTTTGCCTTTTGGCTACATAGAAGGTAAATCGGCTGAGTCGTCCTCTGACATGACCTGGCTTTAGGATCAGCTGATGCACTGCAGGCTGAGCTTCACCCTATTGCCCTTCTGAGCTAATGCCACGCTAAATTTTGATTTCAACTCCTCTACATGACTTAAAATGGAAAATGGGATCATAATTTATACAGCAATTTATATAACATACAACCTTTTACATTTTTTCAACCCCTGCAACTGCAGATCTCTCTAGTGTGATTTACAGACACTTTACAAAGGAACCTATTTTTCCCTTCTTTTCATATTACATTTCACACTGAGAGGTACGGGAAGTGAGCCTGGAATAGGCATGAAGGACACAAGTTTTTTTTATCTGACAGCATGCTGCGTAATCAAACGTCAGCAAAGAGATAAGAAATAACCCTTTGCCCACAGTGTTGTCCAAAACTAACATAAACTGTGCATCCCTCAAAGCTGCACTAAATCAGACACAAAGAAACTGTGAAATGGACATTATGTCCTTAGCAGCAGTAACTGTCCACACTTTCTTGATAAAGGTGGCCTGACTGGGGCACTTACAATACTTTTGAGGAGTTAATATGAGGTCAGTAATTTGTATTTATTTCACAAATCATCTCCAGTGTTGTAGATTTCTCAGCACTAGTTTCTCTTTTTGTGTCCTAAACTATTCCTGCCTCTTCCTGTCAAGAAATCACAGACGATGTCTTGCTCTGGAGAACTGACCAATCACAATGAGGTACTTAACATCGCGATGTGTGTGCATCAGTAAGGCCTGAATGTGAAAAGTGTGTCTTAACCCTCAGTTCTCACTATGTTCGTTTTAAGAGCATTTGTCATTTCATATTTATTTTGAGCTGACAGTCACATTTTTAAAGACTAGGGCATCAAATTTGGTGAAAGTTCTCATTTTTCTTCATGCTAAACAACAACAACAAAAAAAACTCTGTGTCACCTGTAGTTCTCCGTCGCCGCATTTTAGCTCAATCCACCCTACTTTGTCTGCCAATTGGACAATAAACTTCCATTAAAAACACGTTTTTTGACCGTGTGTTTATGGCACCATAACAACATATTAAAACCTTCTTTTTGCAGTCAGTCGATCACCAGGGCTCTAAATTTAACTTTCGAACAGTGATGCAACAGATTGAGCCAGAACATAATTTTAACCCCTTTGGTTGCTGGGAATGAAAGTCTTCATTCATGGACTGAGGGTCTTTGAAGCGCTATTTCATTTACTAAACATGAATGAAACTTTACATATCACTAGATATGGATGTCTAAGAGTGGGATATGTGTTGTGTTTTTTACAATTAAAAATATGGTATGGTGCACAAAAAACGGCTTAAAACGGGTAATACATCAAATTTTGTGTTTATTATATTTTTAATGGTCAGGGCTGAAGTTGGTTAAGAGATTTGAGTTGAAAAATGTAAAAAAAAAAAAAGTTAAAAAATTGTTATTTTATGAGTACTTATCTGCATGTCCGTTTTGGGGACAAAGTTGGCTGGATGGAGCTTAAAATTAACAGGAACCGAGAGTTAAGATAATGTAAAAATGCCAAAAACAGCTCCAACAAACTTGTATAACTACAGTAAATCAAGGCTTTCCACAAATTTACACACAAACTGACACACTCACCTGCTCCAGTATCACAATGAACCGTGAGGCCGGTGGAAGCTGGTTCTGTACAACCACGTGGATGGGGAAATGTCCCAGTACGTAGAACTGAGCTGCAGACAGGACGAAGCCCATGCCGAGGGACAGACCCAGCTTAGAGGGGATTCTGTGGTACAAGGAACCCCAAAGCACCAGGGAGCAATAGGGAACAAACAGGGTGTAGGCAAACATCACAAACCAGGCGAGTGTGACGGTTCCCAGCTTCCCAAAGGCGTAGAACAGCAGGTCGAACTCCAAGACCAACCTGAGAGTTAGGAGAAAGAAAAATGCTCAAAAATCGGTTACAAAACTGAGCAGTGTCTAAAAAAACAACATAATAAGAGTGTCAATTTCACTTAATTTGCTGCTGCAGTTTGTTTATCAATGGACCGTTTTAATTATTTCAAAGGATGATAAAATGAACTGCAGGCACAGATAGATTCATTAAATATTTTTCCATCACTTCTTCCTATCTAAAAAATGATAATCGTAGGTTTTTAACAACCAGTCGGTGCAGCATCTCACCAGACTTCAACACTTGCAAGTGGGATGTACGAGCATTTCATTACATTAATATATGAAAATCAATGTTAATAGTTGTTGGGTGTTTCAAATCACTTGCACACAGTGGAGTTACCCTGCAGGCACTTGCTCTTGTGGGAAACATCAAAATTAAACTCACAACCCTGCGACTGCAAACAGCAACCAAATCATTAGAGAGCTGCCCAAAGCAGCAGCGAAAAAACTCAGAGGGATTGATCGCTCTATCTTTCTGCTGCCAGACAAGAAGAGAGGCAGGCGGAGGAGAGGGAGAGGAGGGAGGGACAGAGAGTAAAAAAAGAAGATAAGAAGTGTAAAAGTTTTGAAGGACTTCTGGGTAATTAAATCCAGACAAGGGTCAGTGAGTTTCATTCATGTCGCCACACACGCATAAACTTAAATAATTGCACATGTCACTCACCTGCCCTGGTCGATGTAGTCCACGGCCAGCGTGCTCAAACAGAAGATGAGGAGGACGGCGATAAACATGTGGTAGATGGTCCTGATGTGGCTGATCTCAAAGAGTTCACTGATGAAGAAGAGCGAATACAGACTGTAAAAATAATGCTCTTAAGACAAACTGTATTCACATTCATGCATTTATCTGCTGTGCTATTTATATACGCGTAATGTCAATCCGTTTATAATCTTTGGGATTATTTTCTATTTGTATAACTTGGTCTTCAGTTTACTTTTTACCCCTGTAGACTCAGATAGACTGTCTAAGAACTGTTATCTGAAGTTCACCATAAAGTGGCATCTCGCTATGTTTGTGTTCTTTTAATCCAAGATAGATTTGGATTATTTATACTTACTCCAATAATGATGGCCTGTCCAAAAAGACTTTACCACTGTCCATTCTCTGGGAACTGAACCAAAAGACAAACATTTTAACACAATGAAAGAGGGAATGTGTCTCGCAGAAGTACAGATAGTAAGTAATTGTTGCATTTGTAGATGTTGCTGACGGCTTCACCTGGATACGGGTTTTACTTTCTTTCCATTTACTGCTTTCTGGATTTGTGTAAAAGGCTGAACAGACTCAGTCAGGGCTTTGTCTAGTATGTGACTGAGCTGATCCTGGACTTGCTCCAGGGCTTTCAGCTTCACCCTCTGCAGGAAGACACACAAAAGGAAATACTGTTTGAGATATTTAATTGCTACCTTTTCTGAAATATTCCCAAATTTAAAAACAGTACAATCTGCATTATATATTTCAATAACACGTACACTTGATCCTGTTTTCTCAGCACAGCATAACAAATGCAGACATAATTACAACGAGCAAAATTACAGCTCACCTGTGCATGTTTCTCCCACTGCCTCAGATCTTCTGCATGTAAATTATTATGGCCCTCAGCTGGAGAAAGGAGGACATGAGACACATGCTAATCATTTCGTACAAAACTGAGTAATCCCATGTGCATTCCTTAGAAGTGTTAATGTAATTGTGCTTTTCTACCCATAATACTTTAAACAGAGGATTATGTATAGGAGAAATAAAAGTCTAAATAGAAAGATAAATGTATAAAATACACTCCAGGGATACAAAGTAAACATTTTTAAAGTATACCATTATGAGAGGTCTCCTCTGTCTGATTGGACTTGACGTTACGGTGGAACAAAACATTTAGTGGCTCTGCAGTCGTCATGGTTACAGCTGGACTGTACCAGAACACTTTGGAGGAATGACTGTGAATGATCCTGCAAAAAATCAAAGCTGTAGGTTACTTACACAGTTTTACCACTTTACATTTCCTGATTGTCTAATGTCCTACTATAAACATATACTACATTGTGTGTATAATAATATTATTTTGGACAGATATCAGCAGTTTTAGGCCTGGATGCAGTAGTTCAAATTTGACTGAAATTAATATTGATGACTTGTTATTTTATACAAAAGCAAACAAGATCATCGGTGGTAAAATTAATGGTTTTTATAAGTTTTTCTTCCTGAAAACACCCCTGGGGATAGGTGATAAATGAGCACATGAAGGATAAGATAAGCAAATACTGCTTTGTCCACAGGGGGCGCCAACATTAGCATAGACTGAAAGTTCCTCACAGGAGCTTTAAGGGAGGTCTCATTTGGAGGGGGTGATATAAAGTACGACTCAAATTATTTTTATGTGCGCACATAATTTTTCAATGAAGCAGATACTAATTCTTGTTATTTATGGAGGAAAAACACAGTCATTTAAAAACTAAAAAGAGGTCAAAGTTGGATGCCACAATGTGATTTTGAACTGATCAAAGCTGCCTGGTTTGAGTCTGGCCAGTGGGGTCTCTTGTTGGACAAATACAATAGAGGGGCATGAACGTTATAGGTGAACCAGCTGACCTTTTCCTCAATTATCTAAATCCACATATGGCTCAGTTTTTGACTGCAATCATGGTTGAAGCCATGCTAGGTAACTGGTAGAGAAAACACTCTGGGTTGTTGCCCCACAAAGTGTTGTAAGGTCACTACAAATAATATATTTAATGAGCTAGTAACTTTAGAACCACAGTGAGCAGTCTGACAGAAGTTTGCACCCTTAGTTTTGTTATAAAGTCAGTAAACATGAACCATAAATTCAAGGATATCTTGTTATTATAGGCTGATTGCTTAAGTCTTAATACTGTATATCTGTGTGAAATTTAGCCCCAAAGAGTTTTTTTTTCCTCTTTTAAACTCTCGACTGAAAAAGTGCAGAAACTCCTGTGCTGATTACGTAAACACCAGAGCTTTGACCTATAGTTACCTTACAAGCTTTACCATAACAAGAGTGCTATTAACAGTCATTGTAACGTCGAGTTAAACAACGTAAACAAATGATAAGTCAAGGCTCTCTTTACGTGCGGATCAGATAGACAGAAGACTGTCGGGGGGAGATAGTGCGAACTCTACAGAGAGGTGAAAGACCCAGAGTGACCTGGTTTTGTAATCCCTGCTGTTTGATCACTCCTCAGGAGAAATGTCAATGTGTCAGATAAGCTGCACATAGATACAGAGATTAAACACTGAAATAAATAAAGGGAAGGCAGAGGAATGGATGACGAAAACGCTGTTTATGTGCAGATAAACTCTTATGCAACGATTCTTTGACTGTAACGAGTAAGTTGAGGGTGAAATGGGATCATGTTCGATCATGTTTGGGACAACAGGTTTATTGGATTGTCCTCTCTTACAGCTGCTCGACTTCAAGCTCCCCTGACTTCACTCTGATTTGACTGTGATGAATAACTTATTAGTTTAATAAAAGTTGTGATTTTAACATGAATTCTGATAAATAAAACAACTTATTAAATAACAAGTTATTTAACAAACTTCAGTGAGCAACTTTCTCGTTGATATTAGCGATCCCTGTGGAAAGTTGATGAACTTGTCCTGCACATTTATAAGTAATGTTTCATGAAATCAGAAGAAAATTCTCATTCTTGTATTATTGAATCTTTGGTACGGAAAAAAACCCCAAAAGTTGTTTTGGCAGTGTGCTGTATTATGTCATGTCTAATGCCTACCCTGCAACAAAGGTAAAAGTCGTATGATTCAACAACAAAGAAATCATTATTCTTCTCTACAATAGTTTAGTTTGCTCGAAGATGCCAAATTTGGATGTTTGAGTATTATTTTAAATCTGTTTCTTTACCAACTTAAAACCCGTCACAGTAGCTTTAAAGCTCCTGGAGGGAAAATTCAGTTTGTGGAAAATTTGGAGCCTCCATATGAGCAAAGTGGTATCTTTTGCCTTTTTTGCTAATTTTGGTTTTTAAACATATAGCTGTAGTATTAAAAACAAAACATAAAAATAACTCAAAAAAAAACTCATCCTGCTTTCATGAACCTTTGCCTCAGATAATGTAATGTAGTTGTTTCAGCAGCCTGCAGTTAATCCCTTTGTGTAATACCTGCATGCAGGAGCAGTTTCAAACATTAAGAATAACTCAGTATAAACAGCCAGTCTCCACACTGATAGCTTTGTTTGCTTTTGTAGGTCATATAGATATAAATATGTCTTTCAGCCAGCTTTGTAACCAGGTGGAAAAACTCCTCACAGGAGCTTTAATTTCAAATATAATGAAATCTTACTGGATCACATCAAGTTTGGGTCTACACTTCTAAAGAGTTAAAAACAGCAATAAAAAAGTCACAGTTTTTCATTACTGCGAACAGTTCAAAGTCATCATCGGATCAAATTACAACTTTAATCTGAAAGTGATCACAACACCAGAAAATCAAAAGACGAGGTTGTGATCCTTTTCACCTCAGCAGTGATAAATGGTGCCAGAATCTGTCCATCATTGAGTCCTGATATTTTTATATATCATATAAAATGTAAAACAAGTTGTCATCAGTCAGAGAGAAAGCTCTGTTCTGTGATTTCACTTTTTCAACACACCAAAAATCAAAAAAGTGAAACTCACAAAACTCACAGATGTCAGTCAGACCCAGATGTGACTGAAAGAACGTGATATCCATAATAAACATTTGTCTTCATCTCAGATTCATACTCACACAGTCTTGTGGCCTCAGGCTCAGTCAGTCAAGCTGGGAGGTTCTGATCCAATTGATGTTTCCTGCTGTGAGAGAGCTGCTGGAGTGTTTTTAAGTGACTCACAGCTCCTGCGATCTGTGTCCTCTTTTTTTCCTTAGCTGCCTTTTGCACTTTGGACCTTTTGGCTCCTGAACCCTGGACAGGACAGGCCCTCGACTGTCCCTTTACCTCCGCTGCTGTGTGTATGGGATCACACTGAAAAAGTTCATCGTAAACTGTTACAGCAAACGAATCACTGAAGTGATTTATTGGCTTCTGTTGACTTTCTATTTGTCTTATCTGAGAAGGTTTGTCTGTGAGGGTTTTCAGTCATCCAGGTCGAAGGTTTTCCACAAGGACTTCACGGAAAAGAAAAAAAAGAATAATAATGTAAATTCGGCTGAATTGATTTAACTTTTCAGTATATATTTACTGAAGTTTTCAAACTTCTTTCTATGAAAAATTCATGATTTGCCTGAAGTCTCTTCACTTTGATATTTGACCTTCACTGAGCAGAATGAAGAAAAGGAAACTTTTTTAGCACTCACCTTTAACCAGTCATGGAGAAAAAATGTGTATTTTTAACTTAGTTTCTTTTTACTTTGTGGGAGTCATTGCAAGTGATCATCAAAGATTTCAGAGACATAATCATACCAGACTCAACATGCAAACAAGCACTGACCAGGTTTGTATCCAGACTTTTACTAATAGACGAATACAGAACAGACTAATACTTAATCTGTCTGCCTCCTCTGCAAATACATACTGTAACTGCTAACATCACACATACTGTGTGTTAGACACCAGTGTGCAATTAATAAACTTTCAAGTTACATTACAGAGTATCTTTAAAGATTGAAAGTCATGTATCCTGAAGTCACAGTGTGAGATTCTAAAGAAAAAGGAAACTGCAAAAAAGAAATATTCAGAAATTCAAAGAAAGTTACTCCAGACTAAATGCAAAACAGCCAAAATAGTTGATTTAAACAAAATTATTGCCTTTGTATTGGGCAAATGGCCAATCATAGGTTTTTGGGGTAGCACCTATGGTAACCAATCAGATTCCAAGAAAGGGTTTATGACTGACTGCCCCTTCTGGACACACCGTTGGCGCTGAGACCCACCCAAAACAACACATCAGGAAAACTCGTCCAAGTGGTCCAAAGAGTGAAAACAGGAGACCCAGAGACAAGGTCATCAGCTGCCAAGACTGAGTGATGCTTGTTTGGAGGAGCAGCTGGAGCTCAAACCGTTCTGATAGAGAGGTGTCAGAACAAATAAGACAGGTCTTGGTGCCAATGTTGACCGCTATCCAAGACTACGATGGGCACATGAGCACCACAACAAGACAACAGAGTCTGATCCCTGCCAGCTCTGGCTTGCAACTTGCAGGACTGAAAGGATCTGCTGCTAATGTCTGGATGCCTGATACGACAACACACTGTTGGTGGTTTATGTCTCATCATGGCTCGTCAGGTCAGGACTGTAGTGATCCTTGTAGGAGGAGCACATATAATATGTATGGTGCATTTTTACCATTTACACGATCCAGTATTCACTATTCACCAGCTTGTTGTTACTATGAATACCTATATAAAGCATTTTTGTGTGTTTAATGACAATGAAGGCTCTCTTCTTTACATGCCGAGAATTACTTACAGTTTATTACTGTCATTTATTTACCTATCAAATACAGGGAGCGCTGTCATGCATGATGTTATAAAGCTCGATGAGCAGAACTAAGGCAAAGATCATCCAGTCCTCCGTTGTTGACGTATTTAGATGTTTGAACCATGACACAGCAAAGATCATTTTGGATCTGTCCTAATTTCGGTGTCCTTACCTGGGTTTAACTTGGAGTATTATTTGAACGAACTGAATTGGCATCATTCAATTTTTAAATAGGTAATCCGTCTTTGCAACGCAAGCAGGGAAAAAGATAAACAGATTCATGGCTCTGGCACACATTGAAGATGTGGCAGAGTACAGTTTGTTTTCGTTATTTGTGGATTATTTCACAACAAATGCTGATTTTGATTGGCCCGAAAGAGAGAGCTGTATTGATTTTGGAGCAATTTTGTCTGGAGCAACAGAAACAAAACGTACTTTTTAAATGTTGGACACAAATTTTTTTTTTTCCTCCGGCTCCTGCCAAACCAGGGGAATAAATAAAAAGCTGATTTGCATCCAAGTAGTAAGACTTGCATTTAAGATTTCTTTTTTATTTATAAAATTCTGTCTACATTATTCATGAAGTGCACTATTTTAAACCCAGAGGTCATGACGATTTAATGCTCTATGGGTTTATTTACATATCAGATCTGGGATGTGTAGATCTGATATGTAAATGACAATGACAAATTTTGAGTCATCTGGTCAATACTTGCAATATACTGGAAATAAATTGTACCTCTTAACAACAGAAACGGTGCAAAGGCTTTCATGACAGTAATAATGAGACAGAGTGATAGTCGTATGTACACAGGATCATCTTTATTGAAAGGAGTTCATGTGAGAACAGTACTGTTTCTCAGCGGCTACAGAAGAAAGTACTGCATGCACTAAGTCACACGCCATAAACAGACCAAACCAACGCACAAATGTACAAACAAACACAGACATCTTGCCTCTGCTTTTTTCTTTTTTTTTAAAATCTTTTTGAAAACCATCATTCCTGTTCTTGTCGTTGTTTTACTTCTGCACATTTAGGCTACAGATTCGCACATTGTTTACCTTGCCAGAATATTTTCAGATTGGTCAAAGTTACCGTCAGACAAACAGAACAATAAGACGGAAAATAAAAATATTACACTCAGTCGTCCAAACAGTTACAGATCAGTACACAACCTTAGTGCATGTCAGGAGAAAAGTTGTTTTTCTTTGAGTCTTTTATTGACAGAAAAGGCCGTTCACATTCAACTCATGGTTTCTATAGGTTGTGCAAACACTCAGCTTCAGTGATAATGTAAAGTTTCTATAGGTCAGTGACCTTTCTCTCTATTTAGATAAAATCAATTGAACTGCAGCATTAGATACTCTGTGTGAAGGCTTTTTAAGGTTAGAAAGAGGGAAAATCAAGAGATAAAGTGCTCTATGTGATAAGCCTCGGTGTAATACGAAAATAATGCGTTTAGCACTTTAGATCGCAGCTTAATTTACAAGAGAATCTTGTACATAGAGGGCACCAATAAATCATTAACAGCGTAACTGTATGAAACAAAATATGGCAAGGACAACAAGGAAAGAACGAGATGGTCTGATATAAAAAGATATGAAGTTTAAAGTCTGATTAATGCTAACTGCGGGGCAGAGGCCGAAATGACTAAATGTGGAGTCAGTTCATCTTTGAGCCAATTTTGAGTGCCGTGCAAGGTGTTGAGAAGGGAAACATGGTTCTGACTCTGGTACTGCGGCAAAGGTAGTGTTATTGTTATTGTTACCGATGTTATCATAAGCAGTATCCTGCATGTTTCTAAGGTAAAAGAAAGTCTGTAACCAAGTAGCCAAATCAGTTTGGAAGGATTGAATAACACTGATGTAGGTTGGAATCTGACGCCACGTCAATCTGATAGTAAAGGTGAACAAATCTCTGCATTTGAAACCATTTATATTGATCTCAGAAATAACTTGAATCATTTGAGATAGTGGATTTCTGATTATCATGAGTCAGAATCATCAAAATTAAGACCAAATATAGATTGAAATATTCAATATTTGGCTATACATGTAATTCTTATAGAGCATCCTCCCTTTATTACCCTGTAAGTATTTAATGGTACCCCATATATACAAAATATTCACATGAAAATTGAAAACAACAGAAGAAGAGACTATTTGAAGTAGATACAGCCTGTGTTTTCTCCCTCAAACACACACACACACACACACACACACACACACACACACACACACACACACACACACACACACACACACACACACACACACACACGCAGACAGACCTCCACTGTCACCCTTGACTCTTTCACCCTGACTGGCTGATCAGGAAGCGAGCAGAGAGAGTCTCGGGAGCTGATACCATCAGTGTGTGTGTGTCTGTGTGTATAGAGTCAATCACCTTATCTACTCAGACTGCACCCAAGTAATATATAATTGACAACATACCTATGTTGAGGGGTCAAAGGTGAAACACCTCATTGGCTGATGAGCTACTCTATCTGTGTGTGTGTGTATTTGTGTGTCAGAGGGATGACACAGGACTGTATCAGCTCCTGATAACCTGAAGTAACCCCTGATTCATGTCTCCACCTGATCTTGACTGAACTACTGCAGAGCAGCATCCATCCATGAGTGACCTCAGTCTGGGCTTTGGTTTCAATCTGAGGAGGTTCATAAAGAACCAAATAAGTTTGCTCATCTCTTTAACAAACTAATTTTGTAACCAAACCTGCACACGTTTTCGTTCAGCGACAACTTAGTGAAAATCTGAAACTTCAAACTCTCTGCCGAGTCAGAAACAAAGTTTACACATCACAACAAATGAGAAACTCTTCACATCATCAGCTCCTTTAAATTAAGTATAAATTCGCATTAAACAACATTCAAGATAGAGCAAATGATAAATATTTTCTCTTTAAACTAGCAGTATAAAAATAGTTGCTACACGATTCATTTTTTCCCCTTTCGGTGATGCTTTTGGTTGTCATGACGACGTCGGACTATCTCACTGATGATGATCCCTAACAGGCGAGTCTTGCAGGGATGAATTACAGCTTGTAAGTCTCTTTATTTCAGTACAGTCAGAAAGAAATCCGTCTTTTGAAGCAGATTTTCAGTCCAGTTCACAGCATCACAGGAGAGCAGAATTCAGACATGCTGCGGCGGCTGATGATAACCACTCAATTGTACCTTTTGAACGGCGCTCTAAACGCCTTTCTCTTTAAGCACTATGGCCAGTGAGAAAATTCCACAAGGTTTTATATTTCTAAGGTTTTATGAACAGTGTGACTTATATGGATGCAAAGGGTTTACTATTAGTCGTATTAGAACATGAGAAAAATTGGAAAACAGTCTTCAAAGAATAACAAAATACAAAAGTCTTTTAAAGATTTGTCTTGTCTTTGTACAAACGTAATGTCTCCTCAATCAGTTTAAGTAGAATAATCAAACTGTAGAAATTGCTTATATAGAGGTAAAGCCAATTTTTATAGACTGTAGGTAAACATGTGTAGTTGTGTCTTTGTTACACTACTTAATATACATTTAATAAAAATACTACTGGTGCATTGTATGTTGTCACCATGTCTACTGATGCTCATTCTAAGATGCCATAATAGAAAGAAAACGCCTGAAATATTGTGAATTTCTAGGGATGGAGAAAATATTCACAAGTAAGGAACAGTTTTCAGTTTGGTATGAATCAGTGTTTGTTTCAGATGGAAGTTGTGAAGTAAAGCTATATTTAATGACAAAAAAACAGATAAATTAGTGGCCCCTTTCCTCTGTGCTGATGATTTCCATGGTTGCCAAAGAGAACGTCAATGAGCCACACTGCTGCGCACAATGACACACTTCATTTTCTAGATTTTGGGCACTGCACTGCTTTTTATCATGCTTTAAATATGCCATCGTACAACAGTGAAAACTCAGAAGAGCTGTAAATATGCCTAAAATGAATGCTGAATACACTGCGCACAATGACACACTTCATTTTCTAGATTTTGGGCACTGCACTGCTTTTTATCATGCTTTAAATATGCCATCGTACAACAGTGAAAACTCAGAAGAGCTGTAAATATGCCTAAAATGAATGCTGAATATACTGCGGCATATTATTTTACACCAAATGCGTCTTTTTCTTTTTTCGCCTTTTATTTTGGTTACCTTTTGGAGAGTCGACAGAACACAACTGTTTTGGGAAATGTAATACAAACCATGTTTTCTTTAAAGGCTGTTTTTGAGATTTATATATTCATTTGCTTTGAGCCTGAGAGAGCCACACGCAGGCTGGAGAAGAAATTTTGAAGGGAAA